TTTTGCGTAGACAACTGTTTATAAATACTTGTACCTTCCTGATGATGGCCGTAGTAGTTCTCCACGTTTCAGCTCCATACAGTAGGACTGTCTTGACGTTCGTATTAAAGATTCTGACCTTGAAATTGGTTGAGAGTTGTTTTGAGTTCCATATGTTCTGCAATTGTAGAAATGCTGCCCTTGCTCTGCCAATCCTTGCCTTTACATCTGCATCCGATCCTCCTTGTTTATCAACGATGCTCCCCAGGTACTTGAATGTTTCCACCTCTTCCAGAGTTTCGCCATCAAGTGTGATTGGGTCGGTGTTCTCCGTGTTGCATTTGAGAATCTTGCTTTTTCCTTTGTGAATGTGGAGGCCTATCGATGCGGAGGCTGCTGCTACATTTGCTGTCTTCATCTGCATTTGGTCGTGTGTATGAGAGAGGAGGGCTAGGTCATCTGCGAAGTCCAAATCATCTAATTGATTCTGAGAAGTCCATTGTATTCCGTATTTCCCTTCGGATGTCGAATTCGTCATAATCCAGTCAATCACTAGAAGGAAGAGAAATGGGGAGAGTAAACAACCTTGTCTGACTCCGGTCCTTACTGGAAATGCATCTGTCAGCTGTCCTCCATGTATGACTTTGCACTGTAGTCCATCGTATGAGTTTTGGATAATGTTGACAATCTTATTAGGAACTCCATAGTGTCGAAGAAGTTTCCATAATGTTCTCCTATCCACGCTGTCAAACGCCTTCTCATAGTCGATGAAGTTGACGTATAGTGATGAGTTCCACTCAACTGATTGTTCAACGATGATCCGTAGTGTCGCAATCTGGTCTGTGCACGACCGATCCTTACGGAATCCAGCCTGATGATCCCTAAGTTCAGCGTCTACTGCGTCTTTCATCCGATTCAGCAGCACTCTGTTGAAAACTTTTCCTGATATTGATAACAAACTGATACCTCTGTAGTTCTCACATTGGCTCAGATCTCCTTTCTTTGGTATCTTGATGAGATATCCTTCTTTCCAGTCCTTTGGCAGTTGTTCCTCTTCCCAAATCTTTTTGAATAGAAGGTGAAGCATGTTTGCAGTTATTTCAATGTCTGACTTCAGTGCTTCTGCTGGTATATTGTCAGGTCCTGCTGCCTTCCCACTTTTGATTTGTCTGATGGCCATCTTGACTTCTTCGATCGTTGGTGGAGTGACATCTATTGGAAGGTCAGTGTGGGCTGCTTCGATGTTCGGTGGATTCGATGGGGCTGGTCTATTCAGCAGTTCCTCGAAGTATTCTGCCCATCTTTTCCTCTGTTCCTGAATCTCAGTGATTGTCTTCCCTTCTTTGTCCTTGACTGGTCTCTCTGGTTTGCTATATCTCTCTGCCAATTTCTTCGTTGTATCATATAGTTGTTTCATATTCCCTTCTCTTGCAGCTTTTTCCGCCGCCGTTGCTAGTTCTCCCATGTATTTCTGCTTGTCGGCTTTAATGCTTTTCTTCACTTCTCTGTTTGCTTCTGCGTAGTCTGCTTGTGCTTTGACTTTCTCTGCTCGTGTTCGGCTGTTGTTAATTGCTAGTTTCTTGTTCTTCCTTTCTTGAAGTTTGTCCAGGGTCCCCATAGAGATCCATTCCTTGTGATGGTGCTTCTTAGGACCAAGAACCTCCTGACACGTTGAAGTTAGTGCTTCTTTGATCCCTTTCCAGTTGTCCTCCAAAGTAGTTTCTTGTTCTTTCAGTAAATCCTGTAGAGCTTGGAACCTGTTGTTGGAAGTTATCTTGAATTCATGGAGCTTGTCAGTATCTCGAAGGAAGGCTGTATTAAACCTTTGTAGTGCTGTTTGTCCAGTTGTCCAGTCTTTCTTTAGCTTCAGTCTCATCTTGGCCACAACCAGGTGGTGATCTGAAGCTATGTCAGCTCCTCTCCGGGTTCTCACATCTTCCATTGATCTTCGGAATTTTTTGTTGATACAGATGTGATCAATCTGGTTCTCTGTGGTGTGGTCCGGTGAAATCCATGTAGCTTTGTGCATGCGTTTGTGTGGGAATATTGTGCCGCCTATAACCAATTTGTTGAAAGCACATAGGTTTGCAAGTCTCTCCCCATTTTCATTTCTCTCTCCTAGTCCATGTCGTCCAATTACATCTTCATATCCTGTGTTGTCCACTCCAACTTTAGCATTTAGATCTCCCATCAGGATGGTGAGGTCCTTTCGTGAGCACTTTGCTATAATTGATTGCAGCCTTTCATAGAACTGATCTTTATCATTGTCGTTGCTATCATTGGTGGGTGCATAACATTGGATAACATTCATTGTGATCCCTTGCTTCTTTGTTCTGAATGATGCTTTGATTATCCTGGGTCCATGAGATTCCCATCCCACAAATGCATTTCGTGCTTCTTTGGACAGCATTAGAGCAACTCCCTGAGTGTGTGGCGCATTTTCCCCTTCGTGACCGGAGTACAGCAGCATCTCTCCTGTACCTAGCCTTTGTTGTCCAGTTTGTGTCCAATGGGTTTCGCTGATTCCGAGTACTGCCAAGTTGTATCTCCTCATTTCCATTGCTATTTGGCTGGTCTTTCCTGTTTCCCACATTGTCCGGACGTTCCATGTACCTATAAAGAGTGTTGCTCTGGTTGTTAGAAGGTGCATCGGTCTCGTGACTTCCGAAGAATTTCGGCTTTCATCATGAGACGTCATTATTCCTTCAACTCCCAGGGCAGAGTTTAAATGGTTTGGATTATTTTTTCTGGTTAGCGTTTTTTTAGCGAGTTAGCTTTTCTACGGAATGGGGTCGCTAACCCCATGCCCAACCCTCCTCCTTTACCCGGGCTTGGGACCGGCAGTAACTCTAGAATAGCTACAGGCGGAGTTATTGATTGATTTAATAAAAAGATTTATTATAATTTTCTCTAAATACATTTAGTAGGAATAAAATAATCTTTGATTGTTTCATTTGATATGTTGTCATTTCGATTCATTTTATTCTGCTATATTTTCATTCAATGACAAGAGGGGGGGTAGTGTTGGGTCCAACTATTATGGAAGTTTAAAGAGAGATACTTACAGTGTTTATTTTGGCAACTGCGATTAGCAAGAAAATCGATTCCAAAATCACTCCTATACATATAAACAAATTGGTGAATAGAACGAGACAGAAACTAGGCAATCTAGGATCCTTCAACCACATCATTATGCTTGGTGTTACTCTACACAACCGTCACACATTCAATTAAGTGCTTCCATAAATAACAATGTTCATTGAACTTTCTATTTTCCAATTGATAGACGATATCAGTTGATATCAACCGACGAATTTTCGCATATAATCAAATAAGTTCATCAGTAAGTCAAACATTCCAGTGATAAATTACCACTGCTGAAAACCTGTTAATTAAAAATTTATTGTACAAATGAAAGCAGCACTCTAGTAAGTGAAGACCAGCATGATATCTAGGTTATTAGGCTGTTTCGTCAGTATAGAGTTGTAGAAGTTGTTCAACTTTATTGAAATACCGAACCGATCTGAATTAAATCACCACTGAAAACCTGGAAGCACTGAACAGCCGTCTTGTTCTGACATTTGACTCCTCAGCAGTGCCCACTCACCACCCTAAAAGCAAGGATCGAATTCAAGACCTTTGGTCTCGCACACGAACGCTTAGCCTCTAGATCACTGATCCGGCATCCAACGGTGTTGATGTTTGACTTCAGCCAGTCCACGAGGAGACGCGATCATTTTCAACTGACCCTGGTAGGTGACAGACCTACACCCGAAACGGTTGAACTCCACTGGTCATAGCTGTTAGACTTGTTAAAATTTTTCCCTTTGACTAATAAGTATGTCTACCGAAGCTAGCTGGTTATTCATCATTTAATCAGAAGACAGACTAATGTCTCATAGTTAATTAGCAGATAGGTATCACCTTTGGATATGTCACTACGTCGCGACTCATGTATCTTTAATAAATACAATCACAATATGTGATATAAAAGCACGTCAGTTAGTTAGGGTCTCATGGTACAACTTTCAGGAATACAATCAATATGTTGTACATATTCACTCTTGAAATTGGAACGGAACCTATGAAGAAAAAATGATAATATGAAATCATTAACAGACGTATGAAGGAAGTATAATGATAGATCTAACTACGTAGGACATCAGGAGTCTTTCCTTCTGGTGTAGCAAGCCCATTAAACTACTGTATTTTTTATGTGCTCTCTGTAATCCTAACATTTAACCCACTGTAAATTTATGTGTGAGTCTGATTGAGCGCATGTCAGCACATCAATCCTTAATTTGTTCTCTCATTGGTTGTAAACAAAGACAATCAATAATTTATCCACAATCCATTAACACTCAAAATTATATATGAATTTTTAACACTCACACACACACTCACTCACTTGTTTTCCCTGTGTGCTTGCTTTCTGTACGCTTGCGGATTTTACCGAGCTTCATCAATAAACTATCTCTATAACTGGTGTTCAGGCTTTTGAATAATCTCGAGTAAACCCGTAATTCTACTAGGAGATTTAGCCTGCAGTAAAATATCAGTTAGCGGGACATTATTTATTTATTGGAGTCAGATATAGAGGAAATTAATCCTCTACACTGGATTAATTAGTCTACAGAGAATTTAAATAAATGGGATATAGCTCTATCTTTAGTATCAATATCCGTGAGCAAATTGATAGGTTAGGATGAATCTATGAGAAAAAAGGGCTTTGAACAAATTGATGTGTCATCAAAGTATTCAGACTTCTCTACACTAGTAAACTTCAAAGTTGCGATGAACTTATTTTCCTCACTAAACTATCTATTGTTTCTGGGGCAATTTCTTTGAACTTAGATAACTGTTGTTAGAAAATGGTTTTCGTCAGAAATGTAATGTACAATCGTCGAGCATTAAGGATTATTAAACAGCCGTTTCATCCCAATGTGGGGCTCCTCAGAAGAGCGTAGTTGATAAACTATCCCAGAATCCCCAATTTTTTTAACTGAGAGGGTTTAATATTTGAACTATTGAGTTCAAACTCGACAGCTCACGTTTCTGATTATAATTGACTAGTAATACAGCTCAACAACTAACTGTTAGTGAATAACTACCTCAGTTATGACTTCCGATTTGTACTCTGAAACTCAGTCACTGGTGAGTATATGAGAACTGTTTCGTTTTCAATGGTTCTTCGGTGAATATCAATATGTGACAAAAATCATTTGTAAATTGAATTAGTCTTCACAAATTATTCGAACAAATATTATCCACAATAGTCGATCAAGTCAATAAAAATAACAAGATAGTGAATATCAGCTGGTACAATAAACAGAATAATGAAAAAGGATTATATTAGATTGTTTTTTTTATAAACAATAACAATTATATTGGAACAGCAGTACCATCACTATTTTAATTAATCTACTCATTGTAAAAGAAAAGTGAAACAAAGGCGAAACGAAGCAGTCACACAAGTATGATGTATGTGTTTCTTTGACATGAAACATATGTATATATATTTACACACAGACTACTAACAACAGAAAGTAACCAAACAAAAGATGATTATCATAATATTAATTAAAAACTAAAATGAGAAATGATGAATATGAAGTGAATAATGAGATTTATTATTATTATTATTAATATTATTCTTTAAAAGATTTATTTATTTTCTATCAAATTTTATATGAAAAACCTGTTAGTAGTAATGAACAAATATGTTTTTTTTTCAACACAGACACAGAGAGAGAGAGAGAGAGTAAAGATACAAACATATATGCACACATACACACATATATTTATTTATTGATTTCTGTACACCTAATTTTTAGAAAAAAAAAGATGATTTCAATACAAAACAAAAAAAGAAATAGAGGTTGATAACAATCCTGTTGAAAATAAATTAACATGATGGTTAATAGTTGTAAAAGGTTTGATTAATGTTATAAATATATGCCTTAATACTGAAAATCTATCCAAAAATGACTCAAATCTCTAAAAAATACTCATATCTGTTAGATAATTCAATACATGAAGGTAAACATCATATAGCAGAATACATATATATATCGGCTAATATTGTCTAAAACAAATTATTCATATCCCTTTTGATATATTCCATCATAATATTGTAATATATATGGATTATGTAATAAATTATTACGTAATAACATACATAAGCTAATATTTTCAACAAACAACAAAGACGGTTTTTCTTTTTTAAAAAAAGAAAAGAAAAGTGATTAATCATGAAATTACATTTAATTAAAGATTAAAATTACTGATATCACATATTATAAAAATAGATTCCATCAATTACGAGTTTGGTTGAGGTAATGAACATTGAATGTTTTGTTTTAATCTATTGTTAATAATGATAATAAATTAAAAATAACTATTAAAGAAAAATTAAAAGATAAATATTTGAATTAGATAAAGATAAATCATAAAATGAAATGTAACTATAATACGAATCTGTATGCATATGCACATATAGTCCAGAGGGTAAATATAGACATATTGTTGTCATGATTACACTATAATATCAAACATTAGATATTTCTATTTGTAATAGTTTATTTTATTAAAATAAATGCTTAACAACATGGAAGATCGCTGAAAATAATATATTTGATTACTGAGTATTTGAATAAGATAGAAATAATATATACACATGAACATTCATGACAACATTAATGATAAGGCTATAAAATGAAATTGATTGATTTGTAGGTTTTTTTTGATGATTGCTATTATTGTTGTCATGGTATTGGTTGAGGTGAATTCAACCATACAATAGGTCCAGTATTAGTGAATATGATTTCCTTAACACGATTATAAGCTGTTTCATAATCGTCTGTTGTGATAATTGCTATGTATCAAACAAAAAATAGAAATTAAATGAATAAAGATAAGTAACGAACATAGAGAAGAATAACTAAAATATTTGTAAGCATCAATGGGATTTTACACTTTGTACACTATATCAATAAACTTATTTAGATTATACATGGATGTTTCTATGTAAATACAGTCGTTCATATAGTTTCATAATCTCGATCACCAAAAGCTTTTGTAATATAGTTTATAATTCACTTAAAACAAACCCCAAACAATCGCTAAAATTTATCACAAAAACGTCTATGGTTTACTATTACATATTGATCATTAAATACTCTGCTTTCTTCATTAATACTTCACGATTGATGTCGAGACTTGCTCATAGTAGACTGACAATGCTTCAAGATAAAAAATTTATTTGCAAAGTACCTGACTGGTTTAAAAAAGTATATTTCATAAAAATGTAAATTACTGATTCCCCATAAATTTCACTTTGTGGTAGTCTCATTAAAAAAACGCTTATCGATGGACTTGAACTAAAGGTTTTAACAACATATTCTTTAAATTACATTTTTTGTTCTTAGTTTAATGAAGTGAGTATCTTACAATAAATACTACTGATTAATTCAAAACCGAAACGAATAATCTACATCATGTTACTTGACTAAGAATTGTCAGTCTTCTAAGATTTCTTCACAATGAAATTATTATTTCAACTAACCTGTTTATAATTTCAAACACTTATGTGCCGAACTTATAGATCAAAATACTTTGAAGAACTTCTTTTCGAAACAATTCATAATTGTAAGTGCTACTCAAAAACACTTTATTCTTGAAGACTATATACATGACTATATGTTAGTTTCAATCTATAGTATCGTCGTCTTAATTAGATAATTATAATTCATCAATGTATACATTTCAGAAAACGACGGCACATACCTGTCAAAAAGGAAGTAAAATGCTCTAGCAAACGACCAAGTTTACTTTGTAAACTTTTAAAAGCTGCAGATTCAACAGAAGAGCACTTTTTAAGTTTAAGTTTTTTTTGCTTTCTTTGTTCATTTAAAAGCGGAGAACATCCATCATCATCATTGCCGTCGTAGACATCATCATTTTTATCATTTTCATCAGTTGGCATTGTCTCAGGTAGCACAAGAATAGCGATTGGTGGTAGTCCAGCCGATTCTAAACGTTTTAATGCTGGCCCACCAACATCCAATAAGCAATGCAATCCTAATTCAGACACTTCAAATACAGAATCTAAATGGGTTCCATATAAATTTCCATTGTATTCACCAGCTTCAAGATATTTATGAGCAGCTATATCAGCAACCATTATTTCTCGACTGATTACAAAATGATAGTCACGACCTTCAACTTCATTTGATCGACGTGGTCGAGTTGTATCTTTAAAAGAATAGAAAACAATAAAATTTATAAATATTGATTTATCTATAAAAAAGATATTATGAGTTGGTAAAGAAGGTGTGTGTATTTAACTGACAATATTTTATGCAGTAAATGTGATATTATTATTTTAAGGTTGCAGTTATGTCTGAAGGAGACAAACATAAAATTCATAGTCAGAACAGACACATTACCAAGGAGTCATGAAGCAGGACGACACACCTCTTCTCTATTGCTTCATACTTTTCAACAGACATTTATAATTAGTGACGAAAATCACCTTCAGATTGAACTGATCTTCACAAACAACTTAATCAAACAATAGTAGTAAGAATGAGAATTTTACCTTCTATTCATGAGTATGTTAGAGTCTAATCCAAAGGTTTTCAATATCTGATTTCACTTTAATCTATAGGTTAATTAACCATATAACGTACAGCGGATTTACGTATTACTGAATATAAAGCTAAAAAATAGATTGTCACCTTTTAGTTGTAAACAATTTATAGCAAGTATTGAGATTTTAAAACAATGAATAACAATAGCCAATTCAAATAAATAAGTGATTCCCTTTATCAATGTGATTTTTTTCTGAGTTATACACTCATCCCCATCAGTTGACGCTAATCTTTGCTAAATACCAGTCATCAACTTCAAATTGTATGAAATAATAATATCATATGAACAACTTTGAAATGGTGCTTTCTGACATGTCTTCAATGTAAACGGATCAAAAAGACAGTTAAAAAGAAAGTTAAAACGGAAAACATGACAACCTAGTTTAACAGTGAAATTCTCAATAAACAGTAATAGATGTAAGTCCCAATTTCACTAATTCCGTTTTTCTTTCGAAATATGTGTAAATCAATGTGAACAGTAGATGTAAAAACTCTTCAAAATCACAATTTAACCTTAGATGAAAATTCAAATAGCTAATAGAATTTATGACATGAATAATCACATAGACCATGTAAAAACTGATAATCATCACAAAACTGACAATGATTTACACTTGATATCGATAATAAAAACGATGGTAGTTATAAATAGAAAAGACATTTGATTAGAATCAAATCAGTGGCTGGATCAGAGACATTTGAAACAATATGGGTAATAACACCCATTAAAATAGTAGTAACCTATTGTAACCTTAAATCACTTTAGTTATGAGTATGTAATCAAATTTACGTTCGTATGGTGAATAAACATGGCAGATAGGTACATGCTAATGTTTGACGTTTACTGCTAAATCAACTGATTATATTGAATGCAATTATAACTCTCCATTTATCCATATTCACTTGTTCAGTTTGCCTACGCTTATTGATGTCTGAAATCCAAATATGCAACGTATTCGCATTTTAGTTTTTATTGAGTATTCACGTGATTAGTCGACGGATGATATATCAATTTAAATAGATTATATATTCCGTTAGCAATAATATCGCCGGATTATATTGGAGTCAACAATGGGAATTAAAAACTTGACAGCAAAAACAAAATACAATGATAACCTTTTTAAAAACACGCATGAATGAAGAATATTCTTTCCAATAAATTCTCCTCAGGTCCTACAGTTATCGTTGTAAAGTAATAATCTCAAAAGTGGTGAGTATTCTAGGAGCAATCATCGAGAGCGTAAAAACATTAAATGTATTTATTCAGCATCAAAAGTTTTTTTATTTGTCCTGCCCAACTTTAGCATAAGCATTTTCGCTGGTTGTTTGAACTCTCAATTGTAGCAGTATAGACTGTTCACCGTCAGCACTTCACTTTTCTCTACTTTCTTGAATAAATCTTTATTTATAAATTTCTCAGGTTACGCACAAATTTTGGAGGAATTACGCACTGCATTTGTTTCTTCACCATCTGGAAAGCATATTGACCTGATTCTATATTGAAGTGTCTTAACTGGTTCTCTTTTATGTTGTAGAGAAAAAAACACTAAGAAAATTCGTGTATTGGAGGGCCCAAGTACTTCTCTTGTTCAGTTTTCTTTTTAGTGACCCATCTAATTTGTTTTCAAGTAGAATATCTAGAGAGGCTATTCTGCCTCTATTTTCTCTCGCTTAAATTTAATACACGGATAAACTTAATCAAATCTCTTTTTTGTTGTACAACTAATTGTGACTATGAATAGATACTTTTACTTGTAGCCAACTAAACACATCTCTTATACAAAGTATTAGCAACTCCAAATGTTCTCTAAATAAACTGACGTTATCAAAACTCATAAATAACCTCTAAGTAAACATACCTAAAATAAACATTAGATTTAATTGTTTTTAAAAACAACTACTTACATGGGATAGCGGTTCCAAAGAGATCAGGAAATTCACATAATAATTCATCAGCAATCCTATCCTTCATGTAGCCTAGTATAACAACAGGTCTAGCAAAACTTAAATGGACCGGAGTAACAGCTATGTAAGATAATGTATGATGTTGGTGGTCGCGATGACGACGACGGGAAGATTCACTGCGGTCTATTAATGGAAAAAGAAACAAAACGGTCAAAGTCCTCTTAAATAAAGACAACTAATAATGATGCAGAATATTTGTAGTTCAGACGAATGATTTTAGTACTGTTGTACAACAGAAACTGGATGATTTGATTAGAAAACTGAATATGTCATCCAGAAAAACGATGAGAACTTTGTAATAAAACCTTCTAAGTCAGATAATGTGACGGTACCAATAATTCACAAGAGAATAGTTCTAAAAAGATCACGTATATATGTTAATATTAAGCAGAGTAGGAATAAACAAAATAATCATTCTTCAATGTTGCATGAATGAAGGGACAGAAGTTTGTTTATAGTTCATTGAACTGATTTCTAGTTCAAACTCTTTACATAGGACAAATCCTCTGGATGAAAACGCTAAATCACTAAAATTATTTTTAAAAGTAGACAATCATATTAGTCACACTTGAATCACAGGTAAAAATAGTATTTGATGTATAAATTTACGGACACTTTCATCACAAATTAATATCAGTTAAAGTACGACTGAAAATCAAGAAGCTCTGAGCAGAAGTCTTGTCCTAATTCAGCGATGTCATGAAAACTGTGTTGAACTAGCTTTTACAAACCTCTTCCCTTTGAAAATACTCAGTGATTGACTTCGAGGTAAATGCCAGAAGTATCAATAAAGACCCGAGACTACTGAAGTTCAAACAAGTTGAGCGAGACACAATTAATTACTGATGGCAACGAATGAATGTCACACTAAATTGAGAATCAATCGGTGATGAGAGACATGGGTCACTGGATACCATAACCAAAATGAAAACAATTTGGAGAAAATGCGAAATTGCTATGAAACTGTAGGTACGCGGAATCGGATGAAGTATTTATATAAATAAACCATCCGTAGGTATGATATATCTATCACCAATAATCTAGGCTTTATAGAGTGATTTTAAATGTAAGTTGTTTGATAAGATTGTGAATCTTCATCTACTGAAGTGACCGGGAAATATATATATATATATATATATATATATATATATATATATATATATCATTTCACATATAAACTTACTTTTAGTTCTTGAACTACGTGGACAGTTATTGTTCATTGTATTGTTTTTTGAATAGTAAAAATTTTTACATTGATTAACAGTTTCCACCAAAGAATGAGTTGAGTTAGATGATTTCAATGATTGTTTCTCTTTTTTTCTTCGTCTGTCATAAGGATCATTTGATTTGATTGATGGTGTGTCAACAGATCGACTGTTTCTAGCCATAAAATTTACATGACGTGTCCTGGTACGTTCTTTTCTTTCTAAGCGTAAACGACTAGGAATTAGACCAATTGGACCAGTTGGTTCATTGATTTCTGGGTCGAATCTCCGAGCCTAGTAAGTAATTATTTTTTTTAGAAAAAAGAGATAACTGAAATGTATATCACGGTGGTATTACACGACACACTTGAAGTTATAAACTAAATATCCTAAAGAATCAGTACACTTTTTCTACTTAAACCAACTTCTATTATTGCTAATCTGTGTGGAAATTATCATTATAACCATGTTATTTCCAAAGGTTAAAGGCTGTTGAGTTGTTGTTTCACTTCAACACTTAATAAAAAGAAAAAAAACTCTATATCTTATCCTGATCAATAAAGAGAAGAAGAATTAGTTGAAATAATATTTACTTATGGAACAGGTCAACAAATTTAATACCAATCTAAACTATCATTACTACTCAGCAATCCGTTTATTAAAGAAAAAAATTAAACAAACTGATAGCATTTTTCATATGAATATGATAAATGAGGTTGAAGGAAAACTTAAGTCATAACAATATTGGTAATAGCGATCACAGATTCAACATGTTTATTTTGTATAAAAAAAGATGCACAAGTTGAGTTTCACATTCACATAATAATTAGTTATTTTACAAAAACATTTTTTCATAGTTTACTTGTTTAAATTTATAAATTGTGGTACAGTCTAATTTTACATTTCAAGTGTACAATTTCAAGATCTATAAGTTGAAAACAATCAGAAACTTGTTTCGGTTTTTGTTGCTTGTGATTTATCAAATGTTTGATGTACACTGTAATGGAGGATGAAGGATTTATTATAAGTGACGTAAATAGCATAATAAATAAACCTTTTATCTTGATGTTATACATGGAAAAAATATGTTAATCAAAGAACTGCTCTAAACCATAACGAGTAATAGGATTAAAATAGAAAAAGATAAAAACAAAATGAATTTACTCAAAGTTATGCATTATGTGTAAAAGAATCTCTAAATTAAGTCCATTTGATATTGTTTGCTTGAATCTTCCCATTAATTTTTAGGACTGCAATCGATCAGTCTCTTATTGGCATATGTGTATACTGTGCGGATTGCCCTAACATTGTCTTATGTAAAAAGCGTTATAAGCAAAGATGGATGGTGGCTAGCATTGGAATCCAGGACGCATGTTTAGTACTATTTGGGACTCGTCATCTGAATGTACCTGCATCTCAGGGTTGATGTTCACTCTAGGACTCGAACCCAGTACTGTTCGCTTCAAATGCCATCACTTGTAACCTAAGGTAACAACGAGGCAATCTCCACAAGATGCAGATATGCCAATAAGAGACTGATAAATTGCAGTCTTAAACATTAATGGCAAGATTCAAACAAACAATACTAAGTGAATTTAAACTTCCGAGATGGTGGAGAAGATTTGTAGCTCAGAAGGACGATGAAAGCTCCACGACCAAACCATCCAACTCAGAGAACAAACAAACATCAGAATTTAAACTTCACTCTATTGAAAAAGCAAGTGGCTATCAGGACTTAGTAGCTAAGTGGATAACTCGGTGAAGTACGAATTGCGCGTCCTGGATTTTACTGCTAGCCACCATCCATCTTTGCTTATAAGCTATAAATTGGTTGAGAACATTCAATATAACACACGTTTATATTTTAGTACATCCTACTACCATGCAACAACTTAACTTAATCTTCTTCATTCTACAGGTGTAAGTTTACCCAAGATAGTGGTGAAACACAGACACATTTATTCAGATAACGGATATGAAATAAATGTAAATAATTTGTTGACGTAACTAGCTGACAAAAAACACAAACTTTATTCCGTTTAGCAGTGGCGATCGCTATCAATTTTTTCCAACCTGACCAATCTATACAGAATAAAAGTGTGATTAGCCTTTCACTCCTATGGTGACTGAATGTTTATTAAATGAACTTCATTACTTTTTCCAACCGTGCTTGTGTTTTCTTCTTATATTGATCACTTATATAATCTCATTGATATTCTAAAAATTAGTTGATTTTATTTCTTTTCTTGTTAAATGATCATGCAATCAGTTGTCACTTTCATTACTCTAACCTAACCTCTTTTATCTTAACTATGATTACTGATTACTATGATACCTGTTTAACTCTGCATTGTTATTTTCTAAAATGTAAATACACATCGGTCTTAACTATGTTTGTACATACATTTTATAGCCTTATTCTTATTATTTCAATTTTGGTTGCGGTTCGAACATTTATCTAAACTTTAAAAACTAAAGTATGCCAAACATTTGTTATCATTCATATTATTAACTGCAATTTTAGGTTGTCTGCAGATGAGAAACCGTGAAACAAACTGATGAATTCATTTTGTTCTGAAATCTTTGTCCATCCCGCTCTATTTAAACATATATATTTTCAGTATGGGGATTTGTCAATATTGTAGTGTGTTTATGGTTGAATTTACGAGTCAATTTAAACTAGACCGCTATTGAAAACCTGGAAGCACAAAACGGCCGTTTCGTCCTAGTATGGGACTACTTAGCGTTGTGGATCCACGATTCCACACGTGGGACTCAAACCCAAGAGCCTCGGTCTCGCACGCGAACGCTTAATCTCTAGACCACTGCGCCGGCATCCAACGGTATCTGACTTTAATTGATCCATGAACTTTCATAACTCTTCATCCATAACTGTCTCACACCCATCATGGATTGAACTCCATCGGTCACGGCATCTCATCAGAACTCCAAGAGTCCCATCTTGAAGCTAGCCACTAGTGAGTACACGATTATTATCAATATGGGGATTTGTGGAGATTGTAGTACTTTCACAGTTGTTAATAAACTTACTAGATAGTTTCATTACTCCATTAAATATTGTCTATAGTGGATACAATAAATGTTATGTCCATTTAGGTGTACGTGTTCTACATTATAATAAACGAAACATAAAATTACATCAGTAAACTACACAATCCAGATAAACAAAAAAAAGTACTTACCTGCCACCATTCAGGATCAACTGTATTAATAACATGAACCAAATCACCTGATTTTAGAGTGAATACTTTTTTAGGTATAGTTTGATGATTTTCTTTCATTGGGTCATAATCAACTTGACAGCGTAATAACAGTACATCAGAATATTTATTCAATTCATTAGCGTCACTCTCTTCATGTGTTCCTTCTTCACCAGGTGCTTCATTCGTAAGTTGACGTTTTTGCTTCTGTTGACGATGTTTCTGCCGTTTTTTGTCAATATGTTCTATGTCTTTTTGTTTCAGTTTATCTTTCCTCACTTCAGATTGCTTTTTATCTTGATAACTGGTGATTGGTGATTCTTTATCTTTACCGTCTATCCCTGTTCTATTGGCAGTTTTAGCTTTCAGTGAATGTAAGCATTTATAAGATAATTTGTGACCAACTGCTTTAAGCTGACGACTGAAATGTTGCTCAAAACTAGCATATTCTATGTAAAATGTTTGCAAGAAATACCGTAAATTTATAAACGAATGTATGTAAACGTTATTCACCAATCAAAAACAGTCTGAAAAACTAAATAATAATAATTATTGAATTATAAACTAGGTGAATTTGAAAAGCAAAACTGATAATTAGAATGTACAAATCGATGATCCCGAGAGGTTACACAGATAAAACGGAATTACACTTTTTAGAAACCGTTGAAGTACAGTATTAACTAAAACAAGATTAGTAATTTTGCGAATATATTACCGTGAAATACAGACTTTTCTTAGAAATATAGTTACAATTTTTCAAGTGGGCCATTATCTGTGACAACTCCGCCTGTAGCTCTTCTAGAGTTACTGCCGGTCCCAAGCCCACACAAAGGAGGAGGGTTGGGCATGGGGTTAGCGACCCCATCCCGTAGAAAAGCTAACTCGCTAAAAAACGCTAACCAGAAAAAATAATTCAAACCATTTAAACTCTGCCCTGGGAGTTGAAGGAATAATGACGTCTCATGATGAAAGCCAAAATTCTTCGGAGGTCACGAGACCGATGCACCTTCTAACAACCAGAGCAACACTCTTTATAGGTACATGGAACGTCCGGAAAATGTGGGAGACAGGAAAAACCAGCCAAATAGCAATGGAAATGAGAAGATACAACTTGGCAGTACTTGGCAGATATAATCGGACGACATGGACTAGGAGAAAGAAATGAAAATGGGGAGAGACTTGCAAACCTATGTGCTTTCAACAAATTGGTTATAGGCGGCACAATATTCCCACACAAACGCATGCACAAAGCTACATGGATCTCACCGGACCACACCACAGAGAACCAGATAGATCACATCTGTATCAACAAAAAATTCCGAAGATCAATGGAAGATGTGAGAACCCGGAGAGGAGTTGAAATAGCTTAAGATCACCACCTGGTTGTGGCCAAGATGAGACTGAAACTAAAGAAAGACTGGACAACTGGACAAACAGCACTACAAAGGTTCAATACAGCCTTCCTTCGAGATACTGACAAGCTCCATGAATTCAAGATAACTTCCAACAACAGGTTCCAAGCTCTACAGGATTTACTGAAAGAACAAGAAACTACGATGGAGGACAACTGGAAAGGGATCAAAGAAGAACTAACTTCAACGTTTAAGGAGGTTCTGGGTCGCAAGAAACATCATCATAAGGGATGGATCTCTCTGGGAACCCTGGACAAAATTCAAGAAAGGAAGAACAAGAAAATAGCAATTAACAACAGTCGAACACGAGCAAACAGAAGCAAACAGGAAAGTGAAGAAAAGCATTAAAGCCGACAAGCAGAAATACATGGGAGAACTAGCAACGACGGCGGAAAAAGCTGCAAGAGAAGGGAATATGAAACAACTATATGATACAACGAAGAAATTGGCAGAGAGATATAGCAAACCAGAGAGACCAGTCAAAGACAAAGAAGGGAAGACAATCACTGAGATTCAAGAACAGAGGAAAAGATGGGCAGAATACTTCGAGGAACTGCTGAATAGACCAGCCCCATCGAATCCACCGAACATCGAAGCAGCCCACACTGACCTTCCAATAGATGTCACTCCACCAACGATCGAAGAAGTCAAGATGGCCATCAGACAAATCAAAAGTGGGAAGGCAGCAGGACCTGACAATATACCAGCAGAAGCACTGAAGTCAGACATTGAAATAACTGCAAACATGCTTCACCTTCTATTCAAAAAGATTTGGGAAGAGGAACAACTGCCAAAGGACTGGAAAGAAGGATATCTCATCAAGATACCAAAGAAAGGAGATCTGAGCCAATGTGAGAACTACAGAGGTATCAGTTTGTTATCAATATCAGGAAAAGTTTTCAACAGAGTGCTGCTGAATCGGATGAAAGACGCAGTAGACGCTGAACTTAGGGATCATCAGGCTGGATTCCGTAAGGATCGGTCGTGCACAGACCAGATTGCGACACTACGGATCATCGTTGAACAATCAGTTGAGTGGAACTCATCACTATACGTCAACTTCATCGACTATGAGAAGGCGTTTGACAGCGTGGATAGGAGAACATTATGGAAACTTCTTCGACACTATGGAGTTCCTAATAAGATTGTCAACATTATCCAAAACTCATACGATGGACCACAGTGCAAAGTCATACATGGAGGACAGCTGACAGATGCATTTCCAGTAAGGACCGGAGTCAGACAAGGCTGTCTACTCTCCCCATTTCTCTTCCTTCTAGTGATTGACTGGATTATGAAAAATTCGACATCTGAAGGGAAATACGGAATACAATGGACTTCTCAGAATCAATTAGATGATTTGGACTTCGCAGATGACCTAGACCTCCTATCCCACACACACACAAACAAATGCAGATGAAGACAGCAAATGTAGCAACAGCCTCCGCATCGATAGGCCTCCACATTCACAAAGGAAAAAGCAAGATTCTCAAATGCAATTCGGAGAACACCAACCCAATCACACTTGATGGCGAAACTCTGGAAGAGGTGGAAACATTCAAGTACCTGGGGAGCATCGTTGATAAACAAGGAGGATCGGATGCAGATGTAAAGGCGAGGATTGGCAAATCAAGGGCAGCATTTCTTCGATTGGAGAACATATGGAACTCAAAACAACTCTCAACTAATTTCAAGGTCAGTATCTTTAATACGAACGTCAAGACAGTCCTACTGTATGGAGCTGAAACGTGGAGAACTACTACGGCCATCATCAGGAAGGTACAAGTATTTATAAACAGTTTTCTACGCAAAATACTCAACATCCACTGGCCGGATACTATCAGCAACAGCGTTTTATGGGAGAGGACAAACCAGCTGGTTCCAGATGAAGAGGAAATTAGGAAAAGACGTTGGAAGTGGATCGGACATACATTAAGGAAATCACCAATGTGCATCACGACTCAATCCCTAACTTGGAATCCGGAAGGGAAGCGGAAAAGAGGAAGGCCAAAGAACACACTACGTCGGGAAATAGAAGCCGATATGAAAAGGCTGAATAGTAACTGGAAAGAACTGGAAAGGAAGGCTCAGGACAGAGTTGGATGGAGAATGCTGGTGAGCGGCCTATGCTCCTCCACAAGGGGTAACAGGCGTAAGTAAGTAAGTAAGTAATTATCTGTGACGTTTGATTTCTTTTCAACAAAACACTCCATCCAGAATCATATCAGAAAGAACACCGAGAGATTGAGTCGTAATGTAGTATCCCATGGTGCATAATAAGCTATTAGTTACCACCTATAGTAACAAATCCATTATTTAAAAGTACTGTTCGCTACCACATAATATTCATTAAACGAGATAGAACTGTATAATTTTCATGACTTTGTTCTAGTTAACTATTGAAAGGGATGACAATTGTATTAGTAAACAAATTAATTACGCATTTTGTGGAAACTGTAATTTAGTATGATTAAAAATGTTCTAAATATTGATTGCTTCTTGATAAAGGTAATTATTATAGAGGAATAAAGAGAGAAAGGAATGCTATACCCTAGAAGCAATGACTAAAGAACTCCTATTCACCAGACGGATAATATCAGTATCTCTAACACAGATGTAGCTTAAGGACAAGCATATCAATTCGTACTTGACAAATGAGGTACCATTACTGTCGTTATTATCATTCAGCATAGGACAAACACTAAAAATCAAAGTATAATATATCTCTTTATTCAATCTAATGGATGTAAGAAGCATACAACCAAGAATACATATAAAGCTTTATTTATGACTCATTAACTAGATGTACATCCATTCCGCTTCTCAAATCCTCACTTAGACTAAAACCAAGTAGATATCGGTTGCAATCTAAGATCTGCTAAATCACAACAGCAAATACTTATTCAAATCGTTATATATCATTACAGTACACCTTTTGTATCTTACTAAAATCAAAGCATTAAAGTTACCAATTCACCGGTGAACTAATGACGTCCAACTTCATAACCGGCTTTCATCACCAACTGACATCAGTCAGAAAGGTCTTATAGACAATGCAGCATTAAGAAGCTGTTTCAATCTTATTTGAAACTTATCAACAGTATCCATCCATGATTCGACATTTGAATGAAGTAAAGAAAAATATGTGACAGAATGGATCACTTGTTTTCCTTATTTTCAATGGTTATATTAGTGATATCAGTTCATGCTAGTAAAATATTTTTGCATTGAATGAATCTCTACAAACCCTATATGAATTGTCTTAATTTAATCAATCCGTGAACACAAAAATTCAAGTCAGATAGAAAATCATAAGATACTATTTACTACACTTGTAAATTGAAATTAAAATCTTGTTTCATATTTATTCAGTTCATAGGCAATTCAAGTTTTTTTTATCAATTCTAGTTTGTGTATACATATAATGAAAAATAATTTCTTCAAAGAATTTAGTAAAAAAGTTTGATCTGATTAATATTAATAAATTTTATGCCTCCTTTTGCTGTATCGAAATTTGCATTTTCGCAGGCACGATGAACGCTTGATGGGGCTGAATGATGATTAACGTCAGAGCAAAAAAATTACTTCCCCCTTCTACTCTTATCATCCTGAAAGCTGGCAAATATACCATTCTTATTAATATCAGTAGTGATATTATTATTAATATCAACATCAAAAAGAATTATCGGTGATTACATCATACTGATTTTATGAACAAATAATATGGGAAGACATTGATTAGAAAAAACAAATAAGTACATAACTATACAAAATTAAATACTAGATACGAAAAGACTATTGCCCCATTAATGCATAGCCATATGGTCTAAAGTGACAAAACAGACGAGATGTAAATAGAACTACGGTCTAGTTATTATTTGCATATGCAGTACAAAGCAGCTATTTTAAAATGCCTCGTTAAGTTTTACAAAGGTATCTTCTTAAAAAGTAGTTTGACTTGGAAAGCTAACCGATAATAATGATTTGTCTGCTTCGATAATTAATGGTCAGTATAATCATTAAAGAGTCCGATATGACACAACACATTGAGTGTAAGAGGAACTTGACATTATTTGATGTGTTTTATTATAACAAAGTTATATTGACTGCTACTGAATTTCTCAGTCAAATGAATCGATCATTAATCAAGCGAATAAATTCAGCCGACCTAGGGAAGATATATTAGACAACTTAGGCATATATTGAAGTCATTAAATAGTAATTAATATCATGCTACCTAGCTTTTTGAGCCTATAGAACTTCACTGATCATCTTTATAATGAGGCCATTCGGGTAATTGAGGTTTTCTAATACTGACCAATCATTATTAATAATCAATAGTTTCTTCAACTATGCTCAGAAAGTCTCACAATCCAATGGTTCAAATAATCGATTGTAGCAATGAATATATGATAATAAGAATGTTTATGCGTAAATCAGATTTCTAAATATTCTTATATTTTATCCATGACCTGATGAGTAAATTACGTAACTGGTTTACTAAGTGCTGGTTAATGTCTTTCAAAAAACTAACTATTCACTTGTGTACGATTAATTTATGAAAATTCTACGAAAATAATATTTCCCCTCACTAAACGATTAGATTATACATGCCTGAGAAAAAAACGATGTGATACAATGTCTTCATTATATTCTGCAAACATTGTTTTCGATTTTTTGTTTAAATTTCTGAAGGTGATTTTTTGAACAAGAATTCACAAAGTGTAAACATTTCTTATGTCAAATCTGAATAAACTCTGCTAAATAATCCTAAAATAGCTTAACTTGTACTGTGATATAAAGTAGCCTTACCTTCAGGACTATAGACTAGAAGAAGATCAACACGATCACGCGCATCTCGTAAAGCTGCAGCCGCTTTCTCATGCCCATACTTAGCGACATCTATGCCATTAACCTGAGGTAAATATGAATAAAACAAAAGATGACATCATCTTTGAGAATAACCAATTCTAATCATAACTATTATTATCACTTTACTCAACACGTGCTTGATTACTGTGCAAAGTGTCCAATATTGTAATAAATTTCGACCTTATATGCATTTAACTGGTAGATAATCAAGAAGTGTTCAAAAATGTTTTAAACAATGATTATTTCCCATCCAAATTCGTCCTCAAGTGTTAACGGCTAGTATTTTTACTGGATGATATCTCATAGGACTCCATAATATATTTGATATATGAATTGTGCAGTAACCCCTACTTGATTTTCCGAAAGAAAGGTGAAGAGTAAAGTATACCAACTAATATGGTGATTCTTCACGAAAGTCATAGCTTTTATATTTTTTTATATTTGTAAAAATGTTACGAAAACATGTAATTGTACGCAATTATGATGTAGAATTAATTGACTAAAACGAATATAAAACTGAAAAATTGTAAGTATGGGGGTTGTGAAAATTGTTGGACTTCATTGAAATAATGAACCGACCAATGTTAGACTACCACTGAAATCACTGGGCGGCCATTTTGACCCAGTAAGAGACTCCTCAGCAGTGAGCACCCACGATCTTGCAGGCAAGACTCAAACCCAAGACTTTCGGTTTCGCGCAAACGCTTTTACGTAAAAATCTTCATTGGGAATTTAGTAGTCATGAAATTTGAGGAGACCTTCAATTTATATCAAGTGATGAGTAAATATGAGTATGTGCAGACAGCAGTAATGTGAGTACAAATAACTACAACTATCAACTTAATTGGCACTATTAAAACATAAGATAAATTTACAATTCTAGTTATATTCATATAAATCTATGGCCAATATTGATTAAAGTAGCCCGATTTGCCTAGATGAGTTAAAGAATCATTATAACACAGACTTGTCAAATGGTTTGTAAACAATCTAGAATGCGCCTTGTCTATTTAGGTTTTTATGTCATGTTTAAACCTCTTTAAACTTGGTAAAGAACAACTTGTTCATCACTGTAAGGGAAAATTTATCAACTATCCAACTTATTAATGTATTATTCAGTGATTAACGTAACTTATGTTTGTTGTAGAATACAGAATTCTGAACGTAAGCTCAAAGGAGGTTACACTTTATGAACCCAATAACCAAACTGATCTATAAGAGACGTCATTGAAGGAATATACCACTATCGAATAATATGCTTGTTATTCATTTAGCCAAAACAATTATTACCATATTTGTATTTTAGGTTATACGGCACACTGGAAGTGTTGGATCTCACTGTATCGATAACAAATGTTGGATTACATATATTTGGCCGTCAATTATTGAAACTAATGAGCAACAAATCTATAACACATAGTAACAGTGCTTATATACAGCATTTGTAGATAGACACTATCAAAATTATTGTTGATGGTCTTCGTATCACGGAAACATGTTATATCAGTGTCATCAGATAAAAAAAGTTCGACGAAGAAGTTTTTCTTCTCGATAATGTTATTTGGTGAATCTGTAGTAGTTTTAAGCAGTGTATGCAATCTCTTACCCAACCACTGCTTGAACATCTTTAGTTTTTCATTATTCTCAACTGTTTGTTATCGTCATCTCTATCATCTCTCACGCTTCTGTTTTCATCTGATTATTGTCTTCAACCTGTCGCTCACTACGCAAGTTACTCATGACACAAAAAATTTCTAAACACTATATTGTGTAATCACTTTCTAATTTTTAACAAGCTATTATCTTTATTAAATTAACATAAATATAATTGTACATCTTCAGTGAATGATAATAATAGAAGGAAAGTTTTCTTTATTAAATTGTCTTGTTTTCCATCTCAAGAAATACAATAGGTTTATTTAACTGCATTACCATGTATTTAGTAGAACGAACTATGTGTAATTATTAAAAACAGTAGGTATACAGAGAATCTAACAAAAAATCAATAAAATTCATTTTTCTGATTAACAACTGTTCAATTTAGTCAACCTGAAGGAAAAAACAATTCAACCAAAAACATTATGTCACTTATGACAATGAGCAAAGTAAACACCCCTCCCTATTGTAAGAAAAAGAGAAGTAGAAGATACGTTTCTCCAAGTTTCCATACGGAGAAAAATATTTTGTATTTATCAGTAGTCATTTTTTCTTCTGCTTTCCATGATGTTTTAGATACATTTAATAAAAAAGATTTTATCTTGAAAAATGAAGACTTATCTAGTGGATGTTATTTTAAATCAAAGGAAATTTATCATCACATGTCAAGACTAATTCAATCATGTAAGACGATTAGTAGAGATAGAATGAAACTTTAGAAATTCAATTCCCTGTTGTTTTTTAAAGTTATATGTCTCTCACCAGTAAACAAGATCTATGATGCTTAAGAAAACCGTTGATTTTCAAGAAAATCAAACACTTAACACAGTTGTTATTAATAAATTATTCTAATAATTGGAACTAACTGCCAGTACACAATCACTGGTCGGTAGAACGTGTTTAATTATAGAGAACAAACATGATCATACTGTTTATGATTAAGTAACAAATTTAAGATCAAAATTTCATACATCACTGAAGAAAATATGTATTTTTCATCTCTTCTGTTGAATAAGATGTAGCATAAGTTTAAAATGAGGGTAACATGGTGGTTGGAGGTGGTCAACAGGAAACCCTGGACCCGGGTTTCGTGCTACTTGGCACTCGTCAGCAAGGTGTACCTGTAATCTTGAGGGAACTGATGCTCCCTGGCGGATTCGATCCCGCGTCACTCAGCTTCACAGTCAGAGACGTTACCACTGAGCTATTCGGGCCGCGACCGACCTCCTGTAGGACTGAGATCTAATCACAATTGATTGATCACTGGGTGGTGATCAATCTCATGCGTGTCAAGTTTAAAATGAAGATAGTTATCATATGGTGCATTTCTAAACGATATTTCAGCAAACCATAACATGACTTGAATCCCGTTTAAAAAATAATCTAAATTCGACAGCTGAACTCAATTTCACAACAGAATAATTTTCTACCATACGACATTGTAACAGTTCTAAACTCACTAATATACAGTATAAAGTGCACAAACGTCTTTTATCTAGGTAGCTTTCAACGTGTAAATCTTGATATTTTTAAGTAAATATATAAGTAGGATGATAACTTTCATTTCAAATTATTGTATAATATTAAATAATTAAGTGAATTCGTTAACTTTATGCAAATTTCAATCTAAACGTGAAAGAAAGCGCTACTTGTTGAATACATTATAGCTCTACAACGATTTTGAAGTGCTTTTTATTTACAAGAATTAAAACCATAGATATTAGGATAAGTATAAATTAAACATGAAAATGAAAATAATAAATAGTAAACCAAGTAACTACACCGAGTTAAAGATGAGATGAATCACTTTTTCATTGACGGTAACTAAGATAATGATAGATATAAAGAATAAATGATTCAGTCAATTAGCTAAATAAAAAAAGGAAGAAATATTCGTGTTTAAATTATTTTGATGCCCAATTCAAAGCATCAGTACAAATATGGAGATTCTTAGAGTTTATCGATATGTTTATAAATTCGGTGTTTTGTATCCTTAATAAAACTAGTTTTAATGAGGTAGGTGAGATCGGAAACCCGTTCAATAAACCATCTGTCTAACTTCGTTCAGGTAAAATACGTTATCATTATTTATAACACAAAGTGTGGCTAAATGTGACTTATCTAAGGCTGTATATGATAGATGATATCGGCGAACTTAATAAAAGTTGAGAAAAAACAATAATATTATCTTATTGAATATTCCTCTTCTACAATAATTCGACAGATGTTATTATACAATCACGCTTACTATCATTACTAGACAGATGTTTAAGAAAACCGGGTTCTTAAAATAATAAACATATGGAACGAAAGAAACTGGGTTTGATTCTCATAGAGAACATCAACTCTGAGGTGTAGGTATATCTAGCTGACGAGCTCCGAATACAAAAAACGCGCGTCCTGGACTTTGCTGATGACGACTATCAAAACTCTATCTAAAAGCACTTCCACATTCTTCGTAATCACATATTATGAAGGATAATTCAACAGATATACTAATATGTATGAATTGACCTCTTTATGTCAAAAGTCCTCAAAACAAAATAAAATAACATTCATCACATTGATGAATATTAGTTAACAGAACTAAATTTTGCTTGTATTATGGCAATTACAAATAAATAATTAACTCGTAAAAAATTAATAAAGTTAAATCAACCAATGAGTACAAACTAAGATGAAAAATGAAAATAAATAAACATATCGTTTTAGAATTAAAAAAAGTATTTAAGCTTTCTTTTCTTTCATTCGTTGATTTTTAAAACATACCACTGAAAGAGATAGAAATATCGATATTTATTCTAAACACATACTTATGACATTCAAATCAAAAGTGATGATAAACAATTGCATTCAAAAGGAAAGAAGTATTTTATATCTGTTATTTACTTCTAAAAAAGTAACACACCCAAGAAAATACACTGCCACTGTTCCGATTTTACTGTATATAATGTAAGAAATTTTTTGAGACAGTGATCATTTTAAATAATGGTTAACCTAACGGTTTGTTGTAGGTGAAAACAATCTCATAGGTTGGCTGATTTGGTAGTCTGTACCATCGACTGACTTTAGATAGAGACTGAAAAACAGATGCATAGGATAGTTATTGCGTTCAAGTAGTTGGACATCCACGGTTCTATTGAAGACAGAACACAGAACCTCCAAATGTCATGGCGTGAAAATGACCTTCAAATCACTCACTTATCATTCAATTGTTTATATTTTTAGTCACAATGAATCTACGATACTGTATATCCACTTTTCGATTCCATTGGTTAGTTTGGCTCACTAAAAGTTAAGTGTCGCTACAGTGTCTTTTTATTGAATAACGGTTTGTGACCCCTGTCAATCCTCGTACGAAATCATATGAGATATAATGAAAATCAAGTCACACTAATGAGTTAACTGATTGAACTGTAATAAAGAGCTTCATTCGAAAAAGTGTACAAAATAAGGAATTGAAGCTGATTCTATAGACAGAAATACACGACTAGATAAGTGATCTGATATATGGAATATACATATATTTTAATAACAGGTTGCAGATAAACAAATTTATGGATTCCTATTACTTCGTTAATGAATTAAATTACAGCAACAAATATAACTTTCAAAATACTATAAATTTATCTCATTTCAAAGTTTGTATCAATTTACCGGAGTGAAGTTAGGCTGATTATGATTTTATATGACATGTCCGGGTGAAATCAGATCTTTCACTGTTATTGTGATAAGACCAAACAGTAAATTGATGGGATTAGCTTACGCACAAGTTTTTAGACTAAAGATGTTTTTTTCAGAAAATTTGGAAAGAATCTAGAAATGTGTTTGAAATTGATATGTTAATTAGTAAATAGATTAGTTTCCATTATAGTTTTATAGTGAACAAATTCACATTCTAAAAGCTATATATTGCCATTTTATCAAGGTCAAGTATATATATTAATGCCTTACACCCAAAAAAATCTACAGTTAACCAGTCATTACTGAGTAATCAGGGTTGGAATACGGAACAGAATATCAATTCCTCAAGGTTATAGGTACACCTCGCTGATGAGTTACAACTAGCACGACATATAGGTGTATAGTTTCTTGCAGACTGCCCCCAACTGTCTAACACAAAAAAATTTTATGTGGCAATATGTTAATATTTTATTAATGTTTGGTATCACATAAAGAAATGCTTGATTTTAAATAAATTTTATATATGAGGTATATGAATTTTTTTCAACTCAAGGCTTAAAAATGTTATCCAGTTTTGTATTTTTATAACTATATCTAATCGTTCTATATAATATTTAGAAATGTGGGTTATTGCATTTCAACTCAGCTGCTTAAATGCATCGTGCTCGGTAAAAAAAACTTCAAATTACTTGTTCTTATTTAATAAGGATGTGTTAGAATGCAATAATAAATATTTCTTGTATGAAACAGCTGATCATTTTTCCTCGGATTCAGTAATAAAGGTTATTTTTAACTCTATTCTTTTTTTTTAAATTTGAGTAGTTCAGTTTAATATTATTTGTTTTAGTAATTTAAGCATACACAGAAGAAGTATAGTGTACAGAAAAGCATTATGTCAGTCATAATACAATAAATTGAAAAGGCAATGTTTCAATAAAATATTTTCAAAAGAAAATTTGTTCAATCATGAGTGAATGTTTTATAATTGAAATTTTGTTTGTTCTAGATAATTGAATTATATTGTACTTTTGTTGTGCTTTTTAAATTAAATGAACACTTATTTAGACAATTATTTTCATCAATTTACAATTTCTCTTTCTTAAAATTCATAAAACTTACTGTTAACAATCGATCACCAACCAATATCCTTTTTGATAAACCAGCCGGTTTATCAGGTTGTATATGAGAAATAAATGTTGCTTCTGAACCATCACCACCAACAATATTTAAACCAAGGTTTCTTCCACTATTTGATGAATAACCACGTTGAATTATATCAGAATTATCCGTTTGATTTCGACTCATAGAATTAATTCGTTTACGACCACTTCGATACAATGTAACTAAACGAGCATTTGGCCATTCATTAAGTAAGTTGGACACTGAAGCAGCTGCTGCATAATCAACTGACGGATTACAAAAAGATAAATGAAAATCACATAAAATGCAAAGAAAACTGTAGTGATCCATCGTGTGGAATAGAAAAGTCATTCCCAATATATAGTTATTATTGATTTATATTTCCGGAGCAAAAAATGATGTACCTTTCAGAAGTACAAGTAAACACTCTCAAAACTCATCCACTTATAAGCCTGTCTATAGTTGTCCACTCTAAAAGAGAGTTATAACGAAGTGTTTTAATCGTTTAATTCCTTATTCATTGTCATCAATCACATCTGTGGGGAAATAACTTTAGCCTTCAGTGTGTTGTCACTTATCAAACACTAGTAAATACAACATATAGGGTCTTCTTAGTCCTTCATAGAACTCTGAATTGTTGTAAATGATGACGCCTCAGTTGAGTAATAACCATTCTTATGATACCAAAGTGCTAGTTTAAGGATAGTAAAATATTTACTATATGATGGTGTATATCTTGTTCTACATGTATGTATTAATCTAAATTATTCAACTAGATTGTACAACTTGATCGTAAAGCAAAGTGCGAATTCACGTATACAACCCATTTTCGATTACCTAAAATTTACTGAAATCAACAGTTTAGGGCTCGAAATAGAGTTGAGTTATCTAAAATTTAAACAAGGCAACTAATACACACTGTTTTATTTTTGAATGCACTTTTAGAAAAATGTTTCAAAACATCAACAAACATAGCAAAAGAATCCAGTTAACCTGTTCCAAATATATTTAGTCAAATAGAACAATGAATTGTCTCGATTTCTATAAGCCAAGATTGACATCAGTCTCACAAATCAAGTTACTTAAATGTAACTACTCACATACATTATGGATGAAAACAAAAAAAGGTCAAAATAGTGGACACTCACAAAACATTTAAAGGTCTTTTAGCATAATTAAATTTTATGAATCGGAAAAATGGGTAAAACAATAACTGACAATTTTTACTCACTTATACCAACCATTCTATTTTCTAGTAATTCTTGACCAGTTGAACCAAAGCATGGATTATTTGTTGTTGTGACGGTTTTAGTAAGTTGTGATTTATGGTACTTTTCATTTGATAAATCTGGTGAAGAACGATATCGTTCATTAGGTATTACAGATGATGAATGAACTTTTTTTGTAGTCCCAGATTGACGGCGAAGATGAGTATGATTTTGATCGTTATGACATAAATTACGATCTTGTTTTGATTGTGAAAGTACAGAAGATGATTGTTGATATTTATTTTGTTCTTGTTGTTTACTTATATCAGACTCCACTGGATGACCGGATGATGATTCATCATGATAAGAACTATGTACAGATGGTTCTGAAAGTGGAGATGTATGAGATGAAATGGAAGGAGAAGAAGAAGCTGATCGACGAATTGACGATAAAGATACTGATGATGAACGTGATTTAGCATAACATGTAGGTCCAACGTCATTATCCTCACAACTATTTTTATCACTGAAATCATTGTTACATATAATTCCATCTTGATCATTAATTGCACTTGATTCAGTCTTTATTTCTATCAAAAGAAAAGAGAAACAAAGATGAAAAATGAGGTTAAAGAAACCAATTTTCATCAAAAGGTTTATATATTGTAGCCCAAACATAATGAAATTTAAATTTGTTTATTAAGTAAGGGAAATGGAAGGTAAAACAACTGGGTGTAACGAAACATTTCCTAGACATAAATACCAATTACTAAGTATACTTGAAAATTGTAAGAACTTAATATATTCACAGTAGACATACAAAACAGATTAGACAAGTAAAATAACGCACTTATTTTATCTAAACTTGATGATATATCTATTACTTTAAGTGACCCTGATAATGAGATTGATTGAAACAATCAAGTATTTTTAATATCACATAACTATTTATTATCTAGGCTTTAGCTTCAAAACGCAGAGTAGTTTTATCCATTTTACGATATAAAAAAGACAGTCAACATCAGAAATGGTTAAGGATTTCATGGTGCAATTGTTTTAGTAAATATATTATGAGAATATATAGGAATTTGTTTACCATGATTTTATGAACACAGGTCTTGTTGATGAATGAAAACATTTTTTTCAAATTAATAAATGATCAGTATGATTTGAATAATCTGTTGTGTAATTAAACTGAATGTATGGATTTATAAGTGTGATGAAAATGTAAATAAAACATTTGAAACACTTGAGATAATTTTATGTAATAATTTTTTTTCAATACTAAATATTTTCTGACCAATAAGAATAAATACTGTTTGATGAGAGATACTACTAACGCAAATTCTTTATAAATAGTTAATTTTATTATAAACACTCTAGGAATAATTTAGTTAGTTTATTAGAAAAAAATTTCAATTTCACTGGCTAGTTGTGTAATTTGTTAGAAAATATTATTCAATTAAATTTTATCTGGACGAATTAAATGAAATGATAATTTATTCGTAATTAAACAATTTGATTATTACAAGAAGGCTACCTAAAAATGTTTATTTTGTATGAGGGGGATGAGCTAAAAACTTTGTTTCTGTCAGTGTTACATTGTAATCATGGGCTTGTTCTAAAAGACATGACATATAAATGCTTAACATGATGTGTTTGTCAGTTATACTTGATATAATGAATGGTAACTGTTTGGATAAATTTATGGTCTAATACTATACACATATTTATATTGTGTAATTTTTAAGTGACTAAACTATATGTATTCATATTCCTCTTATTGTAATCTTTGTTTTGACCAATAGACTATTATTATATCAAGAACGGGATTTGTGGAGATTTCAGTATTTTTCAAAGTTGAAATCATGAGTCAATTGAAGCTAGACCACCATCGAAAACCTGGAAGCACTGGACGGCCGTTTCGTCCTATTATGAGACTCCTCAGCAGTACGCATCCACGAACCCACTGTCTATTGGTTAAGGTCTTCAGCTCGAGACTGTTAGGTCCTGGGTTCGAATCCCGCGAGAGTGGGTTCGTGGATGCGCATTGCTGAGGAGTCACATAATAGGACGAAACGGCCGTCCAGTGCTTCCATGTTTTCGATGGTGGTCTAGCTTCAATTGACTCATGATTTCAACTTTGAAAAATATTATGATATCAATTACCATTATTAAGTTAAGCCCAGTATATTGATTACAGTCTCCCATATTCACAGCCACTTTTGGGTAGATCTTGTACAAATGTTATTTTTTATTTTATGATGTGAGGTGGTCTGTTTGAATTGTATAAAAACCCAGTATGTTTCAAATATATAATTCATATCGCGTAGGCTGAGATTTGTGTTGTGGACTCAACAGGCAATGCTTGTCAGGAAGAAGGACCGATAAGTACTCTAAACTGTTCATGTGGGCTTATGCATCATTAATCCGGTCGATCAGTAACTGTTCTCTAATTGGCAGTATCATTACGTTACATATTGATAAGACACAAAGCTAATGACCGTGAGTTTAGAAAACCGTACTTCCATAATGTTGCATAAAAAATTACAAATTAATAAAATTTTATTTTACTCTCATTCGGCCAACAGTTACGAATTGTTTCATTCAGATAAAAATATGCTCTCAATAAAGCAGTTGGATAAATGAGCATATGAACAATGAAAGCTATTCAACAAGGTGTTTGTATGAAGATCCCTGTAGAAATATTACGGTTTGGGAAGCGTTAAACTGACTTTTGTTATATTGCAACAAAGATATCTCAATCCATACTGCCCACCGTGTTACTTTTAAATTCTAGATTTCACTCTGTTTGCAATTGTAGGTGATCAGTATTAAATAGACCTTTTTAAGTTGAGCAGAATAACTCTCAACTTTTCAGTAATTTACTCGAAAACAAAATATCCACGTTCATATTGATTCGTGATAAAATTTAATTTTATTAAAAAACTATTAGCTACCATGATTCCTAACTTTACAGAAAATAAACATTTATTTATTTATCTCAACTTATTTATAAAGTTTAATAACAAGAAATGAATTTATCGCTGAAAAAATAAGATATCTAAGATAAGATATCTACACATCTTATCAGTCATTATCATTATTATTATTATCTTTATTATTATTATTATGATTATTATCACACCTGCTAACCTTTTAGAGAAATTTATTCGTCATCCACCCCCTATCTACTATATCTGACCTAATTTATATAATTCTACATATTACGTAATTTCCGATTTGTAATCCCATTGTTCTATCTCTCACCCCCATGTCAACTATATATATTCCGATCATTTATCTTACGATTTTATTTCACCTATAAACTGATTCAAGTTAACACTTCATATTAGTCATCCCAAAAACATTAATGATTCGATCTTATTTTATATGACAAACACTCCTTGATTCACATGTTACAGTTTCTTTAATGATGTACTCTGCCTTAAACTTGGCCAATCTTCTTTTATGCATTATTAATTTATAATTATAGAACCTGATGAGAAATTATTGAAAAGAACATTCTTCGTTCATATAATTGTGTTTTAAAATGATTTTATGCCTGAAATATGAAAAAGAAGTTTACTACATGCAACTATTTGAATTCATCTTGTCAAACAATAAACATTATATATAGTTAACAACAAAACAAAAATCGTTTCATTTATGGCACTATTATTTGTAAATTTGCAAAAGAAGAAAAAAAACTCTTTTCATCCATTTTCATTTTTACTGTTAATTAAAATTCCTAATTATATGTAAATAAGATCGATCGATTTTTCGTTTTGGGGAATAGTTTGATTTCTGTATGAACTTTTAAAAGTAGAACATAAAAGGAGAAATGAGGCGAAAAAATATCAAACCATATTTAGTAGCCTTAAGCGAATCAATTTTAACTCGGTCTATATATATATATATATATATATATATATATATATATATATATATATATATAAGAAAAGTTATGTACAAGAAAAAGTAATTTTATTCAATATAAATGGGCAAAGTTTGGGAAATCACTAATGAATATGTAAATGAGCCAACAATTTAAGGGAAAGGACAAAAGTAACTGTAATATGAATATAAGACATAACATATCTCATTTGTTTTACCTGTAGTTCAATTAGATGAAGTTGTTAGTAATCTTAAAACTAATGTTAATTCAGTCATTAAAGTTCCATATGAAAACTGGTTGCTTAATATTTGTTATGATGTGAAACTGTTCACTAATTCACAGTCATTATCTTAAACTCAGGATCATAAAGGCTCATGAAAATCATGCCCAACCGTTTGACAAAGGTATGTGTTTCCAACTTTATTCAATTTGTGGTATAGCGAGATGATCAACCAGCAAAATTCATAACGGCTCTTTCACTCATAATATGTTTGATCATTAAGGGAATCGTAGCTTGGGACAGACAAAAATCCTCATACCAGGTACAAACATTTGTTCAGTGCTATCTCGTTTTTAGTTTCCCGCTGATTATTGAACTTTATGACCAGAAACCATTACCAGGTTGAACCGATCTCTACAAAACTTCTATAATAAGTTAAAAAATGTTGAGTTTTTAGTATATTCGTTTATACTGGTCAGTTTTACTTAGTTAAAATATCCACACTTTATTACTTTAGTTTATCCACTATTTAATAATAAATTGTATATATACCTTGATTAAAAGTTAACTACGATCCAAGATTTGCTACAACTTTGTGTAGGAATTTTTAAAAATTGTTATTTATCCTTTTTTGGAGATCGACAGAAAAACAAATCTATAATATTAAAATTGATTAATGCTTTGTTTGTATTTTTAATCCACTTCGTATGATTCTTATTCACAGATCATATTTATGAAATATTAGCGATTGCTTTAGGACACTGTAGTGTCTTCTTGCAAATTTCTAATCGATGATAAGAAAATAAATACATTATTAATTTTGGATATTTGAGTAACTGAATATGAGAAATACTGATGACAAATTATAACATGGGACACCTAAAGGAAACTTCAATATACATTTTCAGTAAGAAGACAGGAACATCGTTCATTTAACTGTAGAAAAAAATAAAACAAGTGTAACAAAAAAATTAAAAGATTCCAAGTTTTTCTCGGTCACACTTCAAATGACTGAGACCATCTGAGGATGTGCAAACTTGCATATAATAGGTGCTTTTACACACTTTCCAACAAAATATGTTACGGTAAAACCACTTATTATTTCATTAAAAACACATGAGAATGTACAAACCACTTTCGTACAACGAAAGATTCATGAGAACGAAGTTATGTAAACCCTAAGGCTAACGTCAAAATCATGCTATTAGTACTGATAATTATATATGATCATAACCTGACATTTACCTGTTGACGAAGTTTGACGTGATGAATAATTATTTACATGTTTCACTAGAATAAGTCGAACCTGATCACCAGCTTGTTTCAAAACACGGACAGCTTGTTCATGAGTTACATTAATTAGTGGTACATCATTTACTTGAACAATTCTATCACCAATACGAATTCGACCATCTGTCTCTGCAACACCGCCAGGAGTAAGCTAAAAGAATTTTTAAAATAAAGGCACATTATAGCTATACACCTAATAATCGATAAATCGTAATCAGATATTCATGCTGTTTTGGTCAGTTATTACAGCTGAACTAATATCAGATTTGTACATTAATTTAAAAGCTGATCAGATTGTAAGTTCTGATAAATAGTTTAAAATGTTATGATCTACGAATTCTTTACCGGAATCACATCTATATCTATTCATAACAAATTTATTTAGATTAAAGTCATTGAATGGCGTGTTTCAATCACCACTCATTTGGTGAATATTCTGAATTTCAGAAGAAGAACTTTCAGTCAACCCACATTACTGGCATGTCATGAATTCTAGCTTTAATAACACATCTTTCTTTAAAAAAGCTACTAGTATTTACGTAAATTTATGAGTTTTAGAGGCTTCGCTTGACAAACAAATAACCGGATAGTAAGATGTTTGATGGCGTTATAGAAGCATCATCTTAAGGAATAAACCGCTATCGAAACCCTGCACAAGATTCAAGAAAGGAAGAACAAGAAAACAGCAATCAACAACAGCAGAACAAGGACTGATAAAGTCAAGGCATAAGCTGAATACACTAAAGCAAACCAGCAAGTGAAGAAAAGCATTAGAGCTAATAATTAGAAATACGTGGAAGACCTAACAAAGATAGTGAGAAAAGCTACAACGGAAGGAAATATCAAATAACTATGTGACACGACGAAGAAACTATCAGGGAAATATAGTAAACCAGAAACCAATCAAGGACAAAGAAGGCATGCCAATCACTAAGAATCAAGTATGGAGGAGCAGATGCGTAGAATACTCCAAGCAAATCTTAAATAGACCAGCTCCACTGAACCCACCGGATATCGGAGCAGCACACACAGACCTTCCAATAGATGTCAATCCATCAACGATCGGAGAAACCGGGATGGCCGGTCATCAGACAAATCAAGAGTGGGAAAGCAACAGAACCTGACAATATACCAGTTGAAGCAGTGAAGTCAGACATTGAAGTAACCGAAAACATGCTTCACCTTCTATTCAAGATTTGGGAGGAGGAATAAGTACCGACGGACTGGAAAGAGGGATACCTTATCAAGAAGTAACTGCAAACATGCTCTACAACCTATTTAGGAAGATTTGGAAGAACAAGTGCTGATGGACTGGAAAAAAGCGTATCTCATCAAGATACCAAAGAAGGGAGATCTGATCCAATGTGAGAACTATGAAGGAATCACATTACTGTCAGAACCAGGGAAGGTTTTCAACAGTGTTGCTCAACCGAATGAAAGATTCAATAGATACCCAGTTTTGAAATCAACAGGCTTGAATCCGTAAGGATTGGTCATGCACAGAACAAAACGAAACACTATGGATTATAGTTGAGAAATAAGTTGAATGGCATTCATCACTACACGCCAACTTCCATGATTATGAGAAAGTATTTGACAGTTTGGACAGGAAAACATTATGGAAACTTCTTCGACACTATGGAGTTCCTAATAAGATTGTCAACATTATCTGGAACTCACACGATAGACTACACTACAAAGTCGTGCATGAACGACAGTACTCAGATGCATTCCAAGTAGGAACCGGAGTCAGACAAGGCTGTCTACTCTCCCCCTTCCTCTTTCTTCTAGTAATTGACTGGATTATGAAGACCTCGACATCTGAGGGAAAGCACGGAATACAATGGACACCTCAGAACCAATTAGACAATTTGGACTTAACAGATGACCTAGCCCTCCTATCCCATACACACGAACAAATATAGATGAAGACAACTAATGCAACAACTGCTTCTGCATCAGTACGCCTCAACATACACAAAGGAAAAAGCGAAATTCTCAAGTACAACACAGAGAACACCAAACAACCCAATCACACTTGATGGATAAACTCTAGAAGACGGGGAAACATTCACGTATCTGGATAGCATCATTGATGAACGTGGAGCATCTGATGCAGACGCGAAGGCGAGGATTAGCAAACCAAGGACAGCATTCCTACAAATGAAGAACGTATGGAACCCAAAGCAACTGTCAACTAATATCAAATTGAGAATCTTCAAGACGAACGTCAAAACAGTCCTACTGTACGTAGCTGAGACTTGGAGAACTACTATGACAATCATCAAACAGGTACAAGTATATATAAACAATTGTTTTGATTTACAACATGGTTAACTCTTGGATACCTAGTTAGGATCCAAGTAATAATCATAATCAGTGGTTGCTAATGCTGGTTGAAATGACTCAGGATGGGTTACACTTTTTAGCTTTTTGTAGACTTTCAGTTCCAATATTCCTTCATAAATAAATAGTACGTGATAGGATATAAATAAAATACTATAAATGAAAGTATCATTGGATTCACAGAACTCATATTCATAAATACATGTAAAGAATACTAACGACGAATATTTTTAAAACACTATGTCCATAAAGTATGTATATATTTATATCCTATTGGTGTAAATTACCCAATATCTTATGATTTGTGTTTGTTGAGAGTTATGTTTTTTATCATCTATATTATTTGTGTATCATACATCGTGCACAATGTAACGATTAACAGACTGAATTGGTGAACAAACTCAAGCAATCTGGAAAACAGGGATAGTTAGTATTTGGAGAAATGCACTGATTTCTGAAACAAATGAATACTAAATAGTCTTTTTGTGAAAAGAATTTTAGTAACCTAGCGATTTGTATATTCGGCAGGTAGAAATCATGTAAAGTCCGTATTACAACTGGTCTAGGTAACAGTGAACACGTCAGTGAACATAATTAGCCAATAAGAAGTGATAATAAAATATGGAGACAAGATACGGACAAAAGCCGATGAAACACTAACAATTTCAAGTTCATACTTCACGACACAATTAAAATCACCACAATATACGGACCATTATAAACATTTCAGTTGTTGAACTTTCACTTAAGTATTTGGTTGAAGATAATACAATGGTGTTTCAATAGATCAGACCTACTTGAATGATAATACTGCATTATTCTTGAAAACAAACAATCCAAACCAAAAGGTTTCATAAAGAAATAGAAAGAAATAATTTGATTACTAAAATTAGTTTCTGATAAAAAATTTCTTACACTAAAATATTATCAATATTGATATCCATGAGGAAATTGACCCAATGAGTAAATATTGTTTAATAGACTATTTTTTAATTTCGGAAAACCTCATATATCTTCTCAAAAATATAAAAAAGGGAAACAACTTAGCTTGGTCATTCTAATCGTGAGAATGAGAATTTACGGCAAAGATACATTTTTGGTACAATAATATAGACACATAACTTCAATGTGTTTACTTTGGCTTCCGAAATCACCTAACGAACATCGATTTATATAACTATAAAACGTTGTTACAAGCTTGTTACTAAATCACAAATTTATCAACAAACTTAGTTTTTCATTGCCATTTATAGCTCACAGATATAGAAAAAATATAGGTCATTCATAACATAGTTGTAAAACTGTATTCTAATTTAAAACAGAAATATTCTAATGTAAAATACAAATATATAATATTAAAACACACCTTAGTTACAAATATTCCTGAGTCACCATTGATTGTTTCATTTCCAATACCACCAGTTATACTGAATCCTAAACCACTTTTTGTCCCTCTAGTGAGAAATACTTCCACAATAAGTGGACCAGGTTTGGGAGGTGGTGTAGGTCTAGTACCAAGATTTGTAAATTCGTTAGATTGGACGGACCTTTGAGATTTCGTATTTCCAGTTAATTTTTGTTGGCTAGAGTTTTTACTACTTCCTTGCAGATTATGATGTCCACGGCCCAATAATGCACATCCAGCAGTTACACGTTGTAGACCACTGCACCAAGAAAAAGCTGGAAATCTGTCAATTTGAAAACATATTACAAAACTTTACATTTTTTCAATAACGGGCAATAAACTCACAACTAATCAATAAACCAATTGAAAAATGACATCAAAGTTAAAATCAACCATTAATAGACAAAAGATCAAATATTTCAATCGCGACGTAACAACTTTACTGCTTCACATGTTCGAAGTTTGGCTACTGAAGTTCAATTTTTAGAAAAAATTAGTACCTAAAGGTTGAAAATTACCTCTAACAAAAGTTGGTCCATGATTTACAAATATGCAGGACAATTTAGTATAATAATCACACAACCTTTTACATTTTATCTCTAGGAGTCAAAGTTTTTCTGTAGATGAATTTGAAAACTTAGTCTTAAATACAAACTATAAATTGCAAACTCCCATATAACAAAGAATCTTCCGTTAATTCAACTTGTGTCATAAAAAATGCTGAAAAAATTACGAAGGTTTTTATAGAGTCCGCTTAAAGTAGTCATTAAAATAAAAAAAACTTTGTTTACAAAAATGACATTGTCAAATAGATTATAATAGAAAATTTTCTGATTTATATACTTGTTTCTTGTGAACCAGTTATTTGTAATACTAAACAAGATGATAATTTACACAACTTGGAAATCTTGGAATTTCACAACAATTAGTTCATGTAACAGAATAATACAACATAAACAAACAAACAAAAAGATTGAAGACAGACAAACAAAAAGATAGGCAGAAAAAAACACAAATGATCGCAGAATTATACATTGTCTGTATTAATAAAATGTGAAATTATTCAATGAAAGAAGAAGAGAACCCAACACATACACTTCATGAATAAAAATGTGTAAACAGAGATTCGTAATTTTAGTGTTCATAATATGAACATAAAAGTATTTGCACTAAGATTAAAATGTCTTTACTACTCGAATGAAGCATGATCAAAGCGAATTGCTAATACTTTTTCAAACATAATTTGTAATAATGCGTTATCTATATGGTTGAAGTGAATTTCTTAATTCATATGTTTTTAAAAAAATGGATGGCGTTATTGATTAGGTGGTACTCATTAGTGAGTGAATTTAAAGGAAATACTTAATTATATTAGAGATATTAAATAAGTTCTCTTTCTATCAACCAATCATATCTGCCATTTAAAAATAAATCGGTATTGAAATAATAAATGACCTGATAATTTACTTGCCCGGAATTATTTAAGATTTTAAATGGTAATCGGCATTATCTGTTACATAAGAAAATGAATAATAATAATTCAGAAGAAAAATTGTACTTTGAGTTTTTCGAAGCATCTACATCAAACAACTAAACAGAATTATTTTAAAGACGCTTCTATAAAAACTAATAATAATGTTGACGGCAATAAACATAATATGAATTACCTAAATGAATAGCTTTGTTAAACTATCGAAACTACTTATTTATACATGTTTTAGTATTATTCAAAGATTTCGACATAATCCAACATTCGCATGTTACTCTTGTTTATCAAAAATATCTTATTATTCAATGTATCTCCAACAAATACAAAAAGTATCAAGGGTAAAAATGTGTCATGTCTACAAGTTGACCGAGTCTGAAGTGAGCCTCTAGCACATCGATAAGATATTGAGTAAAAACGTAACTACTAAATACTTAAAAATTCATATACTTATAAAATGGTCATAATTTTATTGTTATTTATGTACATATTTTATTCATAAACGTACAGAACAGAAAAGATTAAAACAAATAAGGTAACAGTTTACATTGTTGGAAAAAAAAATGAAATAGAAGCTTATAAAATAGGTTGGATTTTCAAAATTAATATTATTTATTGTTCATTTTAACTAAAAACATTTTAAAAAACAGTGGAACATGAAAAATATCTTAAAAAGACTACAAATTTGACAAATTTTACAGCTGACTTAATTCAAACGTAAGTATTTTTAAATTCACTCAGTATTCTTTGTTTTAATCTTCTCATTGACGTTTAGGACTGCAATTGATCAGTCTCTTATTGACATATGTGCATTCTGTGCGTATTGCCTCGATATAGCCTTAATTCACAAGCATTATAAGCAAAGATGGATAGTGGCTAGCAGTGGAATCCAGGAGGCGCGTTTCGTCCTATTCGAAACTCGTCAGCAAGTGGCTATCAGGACTCATTAGCTGAGTAGATAACATGATGGCGTTTGGAGTGAACGGTACTGGGTTCAAGTCCCAGAGTGGACATCAACTTTGAGATGCAGGTACATCCAGCTGGTAAGTACTTTTGTTTTTTCCCGCCCAAAGTTGATAGTGATATAGTTACATTCAAAAATCTAAGTTACTTTATAACTTACATCTTTAATTTAAACTTTCTATTTTGTGTTGAACTGCTAGTCATTAATTATGAAACAAAAATAATGATTAGAATATTTTCATTGATTTAATGTGTTCATTTACAATACTGAACATGTTCGAGTAAACACTATTCTCCAGAAGTCATAATATCGAAAAAAATTAGGCGAAATTGATTTCGAAGATAATAAAAAAAATCAAACATTATTATTAGGATGATTCTTTGCTATTGTATAGTTTTAAGGTTATTTGCTTTACAAACTGATACCGTTTAAAAAAAGCCGATTAAAGAGCCATGGAAAACATTAGATAGTCAGTATTTCTATAAAAAAACAAGTGATTTATTCAACAAAATAACAAACTGAGTGATATTTTGTTCAGTCTATGTTTTGGTCAGTAAATAAATAACAAATAAATTGTTTATTGGTAATATAACACAGAAAAATCCATTACACTAATGGGTTTAGGCAAAATAAGAATGCACTAGTAAATGAAACCATTTTCGGTTCAACTCGCTATTGATTACAATTAGGCATTCTAGCTAACATTGTACAATACTGTGAAATACATGATAATTATATTAGTTTTTTTAACCATCAGATCTGATCTTTAAAACACCTCATTCTTCAGTATTTAATCACTGTATCCAGTTATCCCTTAGAAATAATTATTTCTGATTAATAATTTTGATGAATAAGGTTGTGCACATCACCATAAAGCGATAAAAACAGTTAAATTAATTTCAACTAATATATCTTCCCAAGAAATTGCTTATGCATAGACAAACAGTCAAGGTAGAGGGATATACTATGACTAATTATTAAAGTAGAAAAAGAATTAGTCTGAAAAAGTAAATTCGCTAGCTCTCTGAAGACTCATCAATGCGTTAAATGGGTTACAATATAAAAACTGATGTTCAGCTAGTAGTAGTAAATATTATTGACCACTGAGCGTGAACTGACAGACACATCTTGCTGAATACTTAATTTTTGATTTTGTTAATATACTCGATATCTGCTCTAGGTTCACTGAGTATAAACTACTTAAAATAACGTTGAATAAAGTGTTGTCTCATTTGAACCCCGGTTTTCTACTTATATTCGTGCATCCAGTGTAAACTGACTTAGTATGTGTATAGCTTATCGATTACATATTTAGCCTAGCGGTAGCACGTTATCGGTCACCGATCCTATTATCTTTTAATAATAGTATATTGTAGAAACGAAAAATATTTTTATTTACCTATTGCATCGAAAACTAAGGATATATTCATAAGACTATTATTCTTTTTAATAAAAAATTTAATCAACCCTGTCTATAACACGAATAACCGAAATTAGAGGACATGAAGTTAGTGGTTTATTCATCAATCATTTATCATGTTGCTACAAATACATTTTTAGATGTGTTTATTGATGGTAAGTGCAATTCTCAGTTTTTCTTCATATATCTTGACACCTTTCCATTGAAGTCATTAGCTCAACATGGATTTCATCATTCAATGGCAAGCTTTCAGTGACCTTTGTTTACATAATCACACCCACATAACAACTAAATTATACACACATTAATGTCAAACCAAAACACATTTTATAATCATCTAGACCGAAATTTTTAAATTTGTAGGAAACCATTACAATAAAACAATAATAAGAAAAAGAGAATTCAGCGAAGAAAATTTTATTTTCGACGAAATCATTTACTTAAGCTATAATAATATGAGGAATATGAAGTATTTATGGTATAGAAAAATAAATGAACTCCAGTTGTCATGCTCCTATGAACTATGAACCAATACAATTTACGAATATATACATATATATGATTCTCAAGACGAATAAAACGATTTAGCAATAAAGAAGTCACTAATATGTTGAAACATATATTGTTATTAGAATGAACGCTAAAACGGACTTGTCTGCTCTTAAACTTTCTTGAATCAAATTAATGATTAAGGTTCAAACATACGAATTTTTAGGCCGTTCAGGTTTATGTACGTTAAAAAAATGAGAGTTTATTAAAACGTAAAGCCAGAAAATAATTCATTTCAATAAAAAATTAGTTTTACAGATTTTTAAAATCATAAAAAAACTTGGTTGAATAACTAAACTCATTGTAGAACAAACTAACCAAAAATCCCATTATTCTTCTGTAGATTCAAGCCCATGTATTAAATAAGTTATCATGAAAAATATACCATTATATTCCTAAATGATTAGCAAGAAAGTCCCTAATAAATAAACGAACATTAAATAATTTGAACAAAAGGAAGCTTAGTTGTTTTTTAATCGTTACCAGAATCATCTTCGTGGTGATTTTTATTATTCACAAAACCATCATCCCCTAATAGCTTTGACGTGACTATTCAGATAAAATCATTATTACAAAAAGTGTGATCGTATATATTGAGATATAATAATATATCTGTAATCACTATTCTAGTTCGAAAACTCCAGAATAATATCCCCGCAGATTAGCCATTAAGCCAAATGGAAAAAGGAAGTCATTCTTTTAAAAACTGTAAGTTATCAACTATTCGAATATGAGTAAAATCTGACTTAAATTTTAATTTATGTTCATTATACAGCAATATAACAAAATAATAACTGAATATGGGAATAATATGACAATAAAGGTGTTTAATGTAAACAATTAACGCCGAATCCTAGTAACTACGTCGTCTGAAATCAAAACACTTGACTGAAAGAACTATCTTACGGAAGATTTTACTCTTAAACATTGATTTCAGAGGAGATACGACAGTAGAGATCTTACAAAACCAAATAATCAAATCTTTCAAGAGAACCTTTTATTCAGTCGAGCTACGAATTGCACTATCCTGCAGATACCTGATACAAGAATGAACCAATGATAAACTTTAGACCACCTCAGTATGAATCTGCCAGTTTACCTGCTCTTTTGAAGCTTGTTACATCGGAAGTACAAACCATGCATTTTATAAGTGCATATCCAAACACTATCCAGAATGGTTATTAAACGATGAGTGAAAATCAATCTGTGGTTCGATTTTTGAACATCTGATCAATTCCGATCATCTATTTACACCAGAATCTTCATTCAGGACAATTCACAAAGTAAAACTCGTAAACTTGAAAGAAACCTAGATAGGAAACTAGTGCAAAGTGGAAGATATGTCGATTCATTGACTCATGCCTGATCTTCGTGTTCAGAAGTGATTTATCCAGTCCCTTACCTTATCATGTTTCTAACACCTTTTCATATTTTGCTAGTAACTTCTTGACATGTATTTGTTTCTCCTAATTAGTTTCTTTATATTATTCATATGGACAGTTATCCTTCACATCTCTGTTCTATATATCATTTTGAAGCGTTTGTTCGTACTTTTGTCCTTTTCACAATCGTCAAGTAAATAATCTTTCATATCTCATTGGTATAGTTTATTTCATTCTTATAATCCTACACAATCGTGACTTCTGACTTTTAATACTTCTGATAATCACGCAATCATCCCTTTATTTCTAACATAAACCATGTTACGTACAAAAAAAAACTAAAAGAATGATTTCGCAGATCTAGCAAAAGATGTCGCCAGAAGGATTTTCTTTTCTGAAAAGTTAATTTTCTCAGTTCTCTATTGATGCAAACTGCACAAACAAAAATGAATATATCACTTAAACGGGAATAAGCATATTATTGCACCATATTTTAAAAAAGAGTCACTTACCCAGCACATGCCACCCCGCGTCTAGATAACCTTGAACCATTACTAGTCTGTCTAATAATAGTTTGACTACCTTTTTGATTATTTTGTGTTGTAGCATTATTCAAATCGTTTGATTGTTTGTGAACATTATCAGACCTTTGATGCTTCGGTTCAACAATAACTCCAGTCATTGAAGGTGATACATGAACACTGGTTGATTGATGTGGCAATTTGTTTGTTGAAGTTGTTATTGTTGAGTTCAATGTATGCTTACTATCTCTATGATCAAATAAAGATCCACTTATCAAACTAGTTGTTGTTATACTTGCACCACATTCAATACTCTTCACTCCTCCTGCACTGCCTGTACTTGTACTAGCTAACGATTCAATATTATGTGCATTCAATGATTGATTTGATAAAGATGGTTGATGATTTGACGGTTGAACAGTTTTCGGTGAGGTTTTCATAATTTGTTTCGTAGGATTTATCAGAGGTTTAGGATGAGAATAGGACGAAGAACAAGACATCAGTGAATATTGTTCAGAAATAGCTAGTTCTGCTTTACGTTCAACTATCTGAAGTGAAATGTGTAAAAAACATTTACGAAATTACAGCTTAAATGTACGAGAAATGTAATATTTTCTCAAATCTAGCTTAACTCTTAAAACGTCTACAATAATTATATTCAACACATATAAACTCTTACAATTCTTAAAAACATAACAATATGTTACTTAATAACATTATTTCGATAAAAAGCTTAATTAGAGTTACAATGTTATTGTTATATCTTGTGACCGAATGGATGTCTAGTTAATGTGTGACTTGATGAGACCGCCAATCAGGGAGCAGCGAATTATCGGTTGGGACAGTGACACACGAAACCGTACGAGCAGTCTACAGCGCTAACCGGTCCTGCTTCTGCCTAGCCCAACCAGTTAAGTCCAAAACACCAATAACAGCCTCTGTGGTATGAATCGTTATTCACAAACATACTGGGTTTATATACCAACCAAACAGACCACATTGTACCATAAAATAGAAAATAACATTTGTACAAGATTTAGCCAAATGTGGCTGTGAATAGTAATCAATAAACTGGTGATAACTCAAGAATCGTATAATAATAGTTTAAAGATCAAATTAAAGCTAATGATAAGAGGAACACGAATGTGATTAGGTCAATTACTTAAGAATTATACAATAGGAAATATACATATTACATTGGTCCACAAATAGTCCTCAAAAGTTACCATTCACAACACTTATCATCTAAGTGTGATGTGATCATCTAAGTATTTTAACATAGCCCGTTAAATCGACGTATTTATATGAATGACCATTTTTTTAGTAAAAAAAATATATCATAGTGATAATGAAAGACATTTGGAATACATGAGATTTTACACTTCGAATTAGAAAAATAGCAAACGTTTTTAAAATAAATTAACGAATAAAGGAATAATAAACTTATAAATTTTCAATATAAATAAACAACTATTATTTAAATAGGCGGGAAAAATTGTATATTTTAAAGCTTATTCGACCTCAAATCCATATTATCCTGAGAAGAATTTAGTATTGAACAGTACTGAACACTTATTTTTACCTCGGTTAGAAGTCCTCGGAACTAGCTGTTTAAGAGTCCAAACGACAACATATCTATGAATGGAATATTGTTCATCCAATTGGTCTGTACAAAATGATTTCTATTTTCACCTTCAGATAATTTATGATATATCTCAATCGTCATTCATAGTCATGGCATACAATTGACTATATTAACTTCAATACTTCAGTGCCTTAAAACACATCTGTTATTTGATTGTACCACTTTAGCTCTCGACACCAAATAAATCTAAGCATGTTAATTATTTATACCAGTATGATTTTATGTAAATCACATCCCAAAACTATTTTTTTTTTATTTAACAACCAATATTCGACCTTACAATCACTAAAATTTTTGATGATTACTGAATAGACTATCGGACCTCTTAATCTTTATCTCATTCTTAAAAACTTACAAAACGATGTCTATCTTCTTTACGTCAATATAAATAACTACTGAAATATGAGCCAATAAATGATAGAATAATTCATTTCTGTTATTCGTGTTATGAAAACATTATCTGTATATCCACGTATTTGTAAAATAAAACACGTACACACGCATAACTCAGTCACATTAATCTTTTGACTACATCTCGAATTGATGTTAGTCTGGATTAAACAAAATAATGATGGACGAAAATTTATTAAGCTTAAATTTCACGAAGAAAAGTCGTTTATCAGGAGTGAACAGAAACAAGTTTACCATGAAATATCAAACCCAACCACCAATGGAACTCAGGTTAAATAAATTATGATATTGAACGGAATATTTTTTTGTTTTTATAACTGGAATCCTGTTGAAAAAAATTACATACTTTTGGATTACAATTCTTATTTAAAAGTGAGAAAAATCTAAAACAGTTGTAACTGTGCAAAATTAAGCTTGCTGAAACAGTTAAAATATCTCTGCTATCCATTTTGTATGATAAGAAAATCAAAACGTTGAATATTAGTTCAAATGAAAATTACAACAGTTGTAATTAATACCAAACTTCATAAAATAAATTCTCTTTATTGTTTAACATTGATATATTGATGGTTCTATAGTATGAAAAATTGTAAAATAAATGAATACAAGTGTTCTATTGCTAATAAACATTTAAGTCATAAAATGGAAGCAAATTAAACCTGAAGTTAATGAAACATATTAGATATCATTTTAAAGTTAACCATTTTAAAAACAATTAATTTTAAATAGACCAATTTCACTAGCAAACGAGAAAAATTATTATCTGTTGCCAAAAAAATACAACGACCAGAATTCAGCACAATAGTCGGTTGATTTAGAAAGGCTTGGTCTCCATCATCTTCATAAAGAAATAGTAACAATCCGAAAAGTGTTAAAAATGAAATAAAAAAGATTCGACTGAGAATTTTTAAAGTTTAAGATAAGATAAGAATTGTATACCTCTTCGCTAATACGATCAACATCATCCCCATGGTTACTTTCATTTTTCAATAGCCTGGAAATTTAAGCCCAAAAGCTTTCATCAATCTTAATGGCACATATTAATATTTAATTACTAATAATATTGATGATACGTCATGGTTTGATCAACATCAACATTTTCAAATTAGCTGACATCACTGTAGAATAATAGACTGTCCCTTGGTAAACATAAAATATAACATATATTTTGTTAAGCAAGTTGGAATCCTCAAACTATAATAAAGTGAATACCAACTACACTTAATTTCATTGAAATAACTTTTTTAAAATTAACGAAATTACGTCTTTTATTGCATCTGTTATATACTAGGAAAAAAGTAAGTACCGATAACTTACGAGACCTCTTATTAGACTATTAATCTATTTATATTCCTATGGTATAACTATTCAGTAACTGGATTATCTATGTCTATATTCATCTTATTACTAGCTTCATTTTGACCTGTTGATTATTATTATATGATTTATTGTTCCTAAATTATACTCGGTTTATTGAGTACTGTCTCCCACGCTTCCAGCCACGTTTGGCTTGATTTTGCACAAATATTATTTTCTATTTTATGGTGTGGTGTGGTCTGCCTGTTTGGTATATAGACAAAGTATGTTTGAAATAAACGATTCGCAATACAGCAACTGCTATTGGTGTTTTGGACTCAAGTGGACGGGTTAGGCGGATAAGGACCAATAAAGACGCTAGATTACTCATACTAATCGAACGTCATTGTCACAGTGTGAAGGTCGTAGAAGTCGTATTCTATTGGTGGATAATTTACGCGAATTACGTCCTTGTTAAATTCGTAAGGTCATAACGAATCAGCGACGACCTTGGTCAAGTCATAACAATTGACTACAGCCTAGGTCAAATACACAACAGCATCAACGTGTTTAGTGCTTAATAAATTGTCGAATTCAAATTTTACTTAAAATCTCCCACCGCTTTACGTCCAACTAACATCTAACTAACTACATTCAGTAATTGTAACAGTTTCTGTCAGGAAACAATCAGTCACTTTGTGGTTACGTTATAGCATAAGTATTATATTAGATTATATTGAACCTATAATTTATAAATGATCACTGATTTAAGTGATATAATGATTGTACCATCAACTTAATTTATTCTTGTTATTTTTATAGAGAGATTTATCGAAAGTTTCCTAACAAATGATTTTATATGATCGGTCCACAGTGTTTGCATATTCCAATAATAATAGTAATAATAATAATATAAAAATTAAGAATCTTCCAAATTGCGCACTTTATAGTTAAGGATAGTATGTTCTCATTCTGTCATATGAGTTTACCATTGAAAAGCATTTCTACCCATTTTTACTAAAAACCATATTTTTATTCACTATTCCTACAAAGCTGTATATATTTAACATAAGAGTTATTCAATAACTGTAGGAACTTAAAACTCTATTTTACAAAAAATAAGTTGGTTATTTATGAAAGGAATGTTTTAATTAATCAAATAAAGCGTTTATATAAATGAAACTCCTGGAAGTCTCTTGATGATTAGGTGAAGAATAATGTTTCGCATAACATTGGTTTTACTATTATCTTTTAACAATTGCGGTATGTTTCATGACGAGCTGACATCAACAAAAGAATCAGTAAAACTCAAAATATGTACAAAGCTCTTGTTTGTTGACTTGTGACTCCTCAACAGCACACACTCACAAAATTACACTGAATCAAACACAGGATTTGAATCTTTTCCACATATTTAGGTATATTAAAGTGCATAGATTACAGAATTTTTCTAAATTCGCATCCAGTTGAAAAAACTATAAGACTGTTGATACCGGTTTGTCTATCGCATACTTACTATTTTTATGGTTGTTGTATTAATCAAGCTTCATAAACCCGACACGAATACTAACTTGTTTTTAATTACTCAAATAATAACTGTTCAGTTCAGTATGACTACGAATTATCAAAATAAGATTCATATAATTTTGTCATGACAATATAGTAGTCGAATACTGTTTCTATTTATTTTCACAGTTATTTCATCTGTTTCGAACAGCAAAACTTCCCAATCAATCAAATTTCAACCTAAACATTTGAAGATAAAATTTCTTATCAGTGAATAATAGTTCAGCCACAGCAACAACCTAATCAGGTTAAAACTGTAATGAGTTTTTTAAGGAAAGTATTTTGTCGATCATCACACAGTTGAATGCTTTGTTTCAAAAATAACTAATCAAACAACCTCTATTTTCAAAGATGTTACTTATCTTTGATTTATAATGATGTTTTGAATTTCTGTTTGTTTTGCTCACTCCGTCATACTATGATGATAAAAAACAATGATAAGTAGTAAAAAATGAATAAATAAGTATTAAGGGAAGGGAAACAGAAATAAATATTTTTTTATCTCACACCACTTTCTATGAATAGTTTCGATATTATTATTATTATTATTATTATTATTATTATTATTATTATTATTATTAGCATTACTATTGGTATTATTAGTAACATCACAACAAATGTTATTAGTACTGTCAGTCCTAATACTAACACTATTCATTTTAAAAACAGTGACAGAATTAATCCGAAAGTCAGAATGAATTAATAAGAAAGAATAATAGTCTGGCGTATAGGGAGATATAAGTCACAATAGATTATACTAACGATCAATTTCTAACTTACTGGAAGTTAAACCGATGCACTGTGTCAAAAGAAAAAAATCTATTAGAAAAACTATGGGAGAAGAAAACAACAGAAAAGCTTTTTAACATTAACAGCTAAATGTATAGTGTTATTTTACTATTGACTCCAATAGGCTGAACTAAAATCAAACAAGTACAATATCCAGCCTGAAGTAGAATAGCTAAGAATGGGAGATGGAAGTAAAGAAGAATATATAAATAATGATAACCTACCAGTGAAGAGTAACACGAAAGAAGAACTGATAGGAGAATGCGCATCTGTATATAAATAAGAGTGAGATCGGTGGCTAAACATGAAAATAACAATGTGTTTGACTCGGGAAAAGAGTAATTAAGATAATTTTATCATAAAAGTAAAATGAGTTGAAATTGGAAAACATTAGAAACGAGAACGCTGATAACTATTCACTCTATCCCATTGGATTTATCACATACAATTTGATCCAATTTATTACATGAACCATAGGTCACTAAGATTAAAGCCAATACCTTCTGTTTTTCTGGACGCAAGTGGTCTGCAACACCACTATTTATTTATTAGCTACAACGTATGTCGAGAAGAAACTTACTGACTACCGTATTATTCTCAAATCATCAATGGTTGTGCCCGGGTAAAGGAGGAGGGTTGGGCATGGAGTTAGCGACCCCATCCCGTAGAAAATCAACTCGCTAAAAAAACGCTAACCAGAAAAAATCATTCAAACCATTCAAACTCTGCCCTGGGAGTAGAAGGAATAATGACGTCTCATGATGAAAGCCGAGTTCCTTCGGAAGTCATGAGGCCGATGCACCTTCTAACAACCAGAGCGACAATTTTTATAGGTACATGGAATGTCCGGACAATGTGGGAGACCGGCAGAGCCTTCCAAATTGCTGCAGAAATGAGAAAATACAACCTGGAAGTGCTTGGAATCAGTGAAACACATTGGACGCAGGTTGGACAACAACGACTGTCTTCAGGAGAACTTCTGTTATACTCCGGTCATGAAGAAGAAAATGCCCCACATACACAAGGAGTGGCACTGATGCTGTCCAGAAAAGCACAAAATGCACTTATTGGATGGGAATCTCATGGACCAAGGATCATCAAAGCCTCCTTCAAAACAAAGAGAGAGGGCATTACAATGAACATCATCCAATGCTATGCGCCGACCAACGACTACGATGAAGACGCTAAAAACCAATTTTACGGTAGGCTGCAGTCAATCTTCGAGAAGTGCCCAACCAAAATGGTGAAAATGGTGAGAGATTTGCAAACCTATGTGCCTTCAATAAACTGGTCATAGGTGGCACCATATTCCCACACAAAAACATACACAAAGCCACTTGGATTTCACCGGATCACACTACACAAAATCAAATCGACCATGTCTGCATCAACAAAAAGATCAGGAGGACGATGGAGGATGTGAGAACCAGAAGAGGAGCTGATATAGCATCCGATCACCATTTGCTGGTCGCCAAGATGAAACTAAAACTCAAGAAGCACTGGACAATGGCGCGGACAACATCACAAAAGTTTAATACGGCCTTTCTTCAAAATGCTGACAAACTCAACCAATTCAACATAGCCCTCAGCAACAGGTTCCAGGCCTTTCATGATCTACTCAATAGAGAGGGAACTACCATGGAGAACAACTGGAAAGATATAGAATAGGCAATCGTTTCAAAATGTCAGGAGGTTCTGGGCCACAAGAAGCACCACCACAAGGAATGGATCACTGTTGGTACACTGGATAAAATTGAAGCAAGGAGGAACAAGAAGGCAGCAATCAATATCAGCCGAACAAGAGCAGAAAAAGCCAAGGCACAAGCCGAATACACAGAGGCAAACAAGCAAGTGAAGAGGAGCATCAGAACCGACAAACGTAAATATATGGAAGATTTAACAATGACAGCGGAAAAGGCTGCTGAGAAGGAAACATGAGACAACTGTATGATACAACAAAGAAACTTGCTGGAAATTACCGTCAACCAGAAAGACCAGTGAAAAACAAGGAAGGCAAAGTAATCAACGATATTGAAGAACAACGAAACAGGTGGGTAGAACACTTCAAGGAACTATTGAATCGACCAGCTCCACTGAACCCACCCAAAATCGAAGCAGCACCCACAGACCTCCCAATCGATATTGGCCCACCAACAATTGAAGAGATCAGCATGGCCATTAGACAAATCAAGAGTGGCAAAGCAGCGGGACCAGACAACATCCCAGCAGAGGCACTGAAAGCAAATATAGCAGCAACTGCCAAGGTACTCCACATCCTCTTCAGTAAGATTTGGGACGAAGAACATGTACCAACAGACTGGAAAAAAGGACTTCTGATCAAGATACCAAAGAAGGGCGATCTCAGCGAGTGCGATAACTACAGGGGCATCACTCTCCTCTCAATACCATGAAAAGTCTTCAACAGAGCATTATTAAACAGGATCAAGGATTCCGTGGACGACCAACTTCGAGATCAATAAGCTGGATTTCGTAAGGATAGATCGTGTACAGACCAAATCGCAACTCTACGTATCATTGTGGAACAATCAATCGAATGGAATTCATCACTCTACATCAACTTCATCGACTACGAGAAAGCATTTGATAGCGTGGACAAAACAACACTATGGAGGCTTCTTCGACACTATGGCGTGCCTGAGAAGATAGTCAACATCATACGGAACTCCTATGATGGACTAAACTGCCAAATCGTCCACGGAGGACAACTCACCGACTCGTTCGAGGTAAAGACCGGTGTTAGGCAAGGTTGCTTACTCTCACCCTTTCTCTTTCTCCTGGTCATCGACTGGATCATGAAGACGTCAACGACTGGAGGAAAGCACGGGATACAGTGGACAGGCAGGATGCAACTTGACGATCTAGACTTCGTGGATGATCTGGCTCTTCTATCACAAACGCAACAACAAATGCAGGAGAAAACGACCAGTGTAGCAGCAGCCTCAGCAGCAGTAGGTCTCAATATAAACAAAGGGAAAAGCAAGACTCTCCGATACAATACAATATGCACCAATCCAATTACACTTGACGGAGAAGCTTTGGAGGATGTGGAAATCTTTACATATCTGGGCAGCATCATTGATGAACACGGTGGATCAGATGCAGATGTGAGGGCGCGGATCGGCAAAGCAAGAGCAGCATACCTACAACTGAAAAACATCTGGAGCTCAACACAATTGTCAACCAACACCAAGGTTAGAATTTTCAATACAAATGTCAAGACAGTTCTTCTGTATGGGGCAGAGACGTGGAGAACTACGAAAGCCATTATCCAGAAGATACAAGTGTTTATTAACAGCTGTCTACGCAAGATACTTCGGATCCGATGGCCAGACACTATCAACAACAAGTTACTGTGGGAGACAACAAACCAGATTCCAGCGGAGGAAGAAATCAGGAAGAAGCGCTGGAAGTGGATTGGGCACACCTTGAGGAAATCAGCTAATTGTGTCACAAGACAAGCCCTCACATGGAATCCTGAAGGTCGAAGGAGAAGAGGAAGACCAAAGAACACATTACGCCGAGAAATAGAGACAGACATGAGAAGAGTGAACAAGAACTGGAAAGAACTAGAAAAGAAATCCCAGGACAGAGTGGGTTGGAGAAAGCTGGTCGGCGGCCTATGCTCCATTGGGAGTAACAGGCGAAAGTAAGTAAGTAAGTAAGCATCAATGGTTGTGCATTTAACTTACACTTAGTTACATTATTTCACCCATTTTATGACATGAATTTCATTGGATTACTTTTTAACAACGTTTACCAGGCCATAATTCACTTCAATTGTTGAAATATTTGTTTTATATTAGATCGAATTATTTTAGTAATTCTAACGTTCAATAATGCTGTAATGGAAGCCACTCACAAGGATACTTGTAGGTAATATGCAGTGGAACGTGACATCGAAGTTGTAAAGGACTGAAGAGTTTCAGTGCATCGAAAGTACAATGTAGGCAGAACACTTAGAGATCAGGTGAGAAAACAGTTCGATGACAGAACACACGGAAAGATGCAAATGGATGGTTGAAGGCTATGTATAAATATTATGTAAATGCCTTGTAACTTATTGCAATAAATATAACTTCTTTATGCTTATTGTCTTATTTACACTATATTATAAATATATCACTATACCTCGTTTTCCCTTATTGGGAATTGATGATTAATATGTTATTGAACCATATTGATAGTAATGAAAAATTGTTTGCCCACTTAACTAAAAGCATGCCCAGTCGGTTAGATGAAAAGGTAAGACATGGCACATGTACATATCTGTCGAAGTTATGACATATTATCATTGCATGAAGGAAAGGAGTTACAGTGAGGGAAAGAAAAGTAGTCAAAATAATATTGTTAAAGGAAGAGTGAACCAAATATGAAGGACAAAATTCAAATGAATCGCGTAAAATTGGAGATCGAGAAAACTAGAAAAATATAATGCTGAACATTCGGAAGAGAGAAAACGAACAAATCTGCATGAATGCAACAGATCTTGAGCTATGATATGTCAGGTCTGTAACCATAGTTTACGTCTATCCTAGGGGCATCAGATTTACAAACTCTGGAGTAATGTGTCTGCTAACCATACATGACCCATTCCAACAAAAGTTACCTATATCCATTTGATTTCACTAATTATCTGTTCTCTTTGATAATGGATGATCGAAGACGAAAATACTCTTACTGACTGCTTTTAACTGTCTAAAAACTAATACTATGCACCATGGTGTGAAGTTACTTAGTCTAGAG